CTGCTCCTGGGTCTGGTAGATGTGACAGTACTCTTTTCAGCAAAAGCAGTGACCCATTGCCAAGTATTAGATTGGCAGAAGCCTTTGAAGACTGCTTCAGAGCCCTGAGACTGGTCACCTCTAGGACAGAGATGAGAGAGGTCTCTAGCCTCTCTGGTTTGACAATCATTCCTGGTTCAAATGGGACTTCCTAAATTGAAAGATTCCATTTTTACTTATAATCAACCAAGTTTCACTTCACAGACTCCAGGAGAATGGCTGGGGACCAAGCTGTGCCTGAAGTCTATGTCCAGGGGCAGGTTGGTTACCTCAGTGGCCTTGTTTGTATGCAATTGAATTTTTCCAGCTTCAGACTCTATCTAAGGTGTGGAGTGTTTTCTTTGTGCCTGAAAGGTCTTCCTCATTCTAATTCAGCCTCCAGCTCTAAAAACCTTCAATTTCACAGGCACACCCTGTTACACTTTTAATTTCATATTTTACTAAATCTCAGACCTTAGTCTTCTCTTCCTCAATTTCTCATTTTAGTTTGTAACAAAATCAAGCCATTCTGAGGAAAAAAGATAATGATCAAATCAAGATAGGGAATGTTTTTTTATTTCTCCTACCCCAGAACTAGTGACTAGATTAAAAGAAGGAGGGAGTCTAATTTGTTAATAACATTAGCATATGGATACAGAGCCTAGAATTCTCAGAACATCTGCATTGTCTATGTGTAAATACAACATATGCACAGACACACATGTATTTATACTAGATATATGCGTATGTATACACACAAATATATATATGTACATTTATGCATATCAGATTTTACAAATATCTGATCTGATCTTCACAATAATCCTGTGAAGTAGGTGCTATTATTATATTTGCATCTATAGATGAGCAGATTTAAGCAGACAGATGTGCCCAGGGTCACACTGCTACTAAGTGTTTGAGACTGGATTTGAAGCCAGATCTTCCTGAATACAAGTCCAGTGTTCTATCCACTGTGCCACCCAGCTGCCTAGGTTAGATTAAGAGAAGGTTTTTTCTCCTCAAAGGCAAGCTTGCATTTCTGTTATCCCCTTTTGCTATATAATTCAATAGCCATCTGAAAATGAGGCAATTTTGTCAGGCACCTAAGTGACACAATGCATAGAGAGCTAGATTTGGTGTCAGGAAGACCTCAGTTTAAATTCAGCTTCAGACCCTTAATAGCAGTGTGGCTCTGGACAGGTCCCTTAACTTCTTAGTCTCATCTGTAAAATGGGAATAGTATTGGTCCATACAAGATACAGATGGATGGTATCCTTAAAGAGGAAGACTGGCTGCTCTAAGCAGCAGAGCAGAAAATAGCCACAGTGAAGATGAGAAGGAATTAATTCGTCCTGGGATGGTCTGCAACCAGCCTCAGTAGCAGCAGCAGTAGTGGTTGATGGCAGCGGAGAAGATGAGAATGCAAGGTGCCAAGGAGTGCAGAGCTGAATGGTTTAGCTTTTTCAAGGCACAGACTCTAGAAAGGCTCTGAGAGGTAAGCAACTACTATGTTTCTATATAAGGAAATTGAGAGTAAACATAGCTCTAGGTCAGAAGTTCTAGAACCGGCTAAAGGTGGATGAAACTGGTTGTTTGGTTAGAGGCTGGGAATAGGACCAAGGTTAAGCTTTACTTAGAGGGCACATGCGTAACAGGCTCAGTAATACTAACTTCTCTGCCCAGAGAAGAGCAATAGCACAAAACTAGGCACATTTCATATGTTAATGGGAGAAGGAACATGTTAAGGAATGATATGAAGTGAGAGTATCAGGAAGATCGTAACCCAGAAGAGCAGGGACCAATCTCGGCTCTGAAGGGAGGGACAAGAAGGAACTAACTGCACAAAAGGCTTGCTCTGGCTTCTGTCGGAGTGTGTGTGACCACACACACCCACTTCTTGCAAAAACCGTAAATAACATTTTGCAACTAGGGAAGCAGCCAGCCCTGACAGCTCATTTGTACCTCCCTAACTCTACCAAGGAGTGTCTGAACCCCGTTTTTAACAAGGCCTTCAGGAACTATCCATTCCAATCCACACTCAAAAGGAATCCCCATTACAACATTATAGCATAATGGCCTGTGCTTCCAGATCTCCAAGGAGGGAGTGAAAATCCACTTTTTCTCCAGGCAGTCCATTTCACAAACTGTTTGACATGAATGTGATTTAAAAAATGCAGAATGTAGCTGGTTTTCTTCTTAGCAATAAAGACTGCTAATAATGCCTTACTTATCTTTGGTTTTTGTATCCCCAGAACTCAACCCAGTGCCTAGGACATGGTAAGTACTTAATAAATGCTTTATCTACCTTTATCTTAACTTTATTTCACCAAATTTCATTTACTTCTTGCCCTTTCTCCTTTGGCTTCAAATTTGCAAGAGGTTTTTCCAGCTCTACCCTGGCTGGAAAGTTAAAATATTGTATCTAAAGTGAGATGCTCAGGGACTTCATAGAGAATGGAGTGAGTTATATCAGTATTTTACAAATGCTTTCATCTCACTCTCTCTAAAGTAGGGCTCTCCTGACCCCTTATTGTTCTTCCAAATACATCCACATGATTGCTTGAAGCGTCATAGCTCAGGTCTTCTAACAAGCATCACAGATCTTTAAACGGTCAGATGGGAAGGAAATTGAGAAAACTGATCAATCTGCAGGCTGGCCCCTGTTCTTACCACCACTAGCTAATACTGCATTTTCTTTCTCTGGCTTTAGAAATGACTCCCCCAAACTTTTGGAGGGTGATGGAACCTAGTTAAAAACAAACAAGCAAAAATAAAATTGGAGTTATTCCTTAAAAAAGCCAACACAATGTCAGTAGATTGAGACTGTCAACTGGACCAAACTGGCCTCTAACCTGTGGGTGGCCAGAGCTGAATAAAGCAGACTAGAGACAGAAGAGTCAGGAATCAAACAGAAGTTTAATTTCAAAATGAGGGAAAAGGCTTACAAGCAAGGACACCTGTACTGGGGCCCCACACCTAGTTGGGGGGACCCAAGGCAGTGGGACTGAACCTTGATTTGTATACTTGTGGCCAGACAAAGAGTCAAACAGTGTAGTGTAGCAAGAGAAATGAGGTACAACAGCAGCAGGGAGGCAAGGTTGTCTAGTGACAAGAAGTCCGTTCATAGCAGGGCTTCATGTCTGGGCCTCTTGGTGTTTCAGTTCCAGAAAAGGAGCGCAAAGGATTGTTGTTATGCCAAGTTCAGGGCACAGCTTGCTTGCTGGGCCTTAGGTCTGGAAAACAGGGGGTCTCCTAATATCTTGACAAGGTACTGCTCAATTGAGAGAAAGACAGGGAGCTTAGGTACTGTCATTTATAGTACTGCCCACTGTTGTCTAGGGAAGCAGTTGATTTCTTCAACATTTTCACTGGGATGCTTAAGGTCTTTGGCTAATAGAAAGGGGTTGGTCTTGTCTGATAGAAATTCTGAGAGTCAAAATTCTGAGCACAATCAATTTATTCATTAGACTAGTAGTAACCAATGAATTGGATCAATAGCCTCTCTCAATGACCAAAGACTTAGAGTGAGGGCTGACCGGGTCTTTTATAATAATCAGCAAGATGGCAGAGCAAAATCTCGAACAACACTGGTGTGTCTTCTTCTGACTGGATATTGATGACATAATCAGAAATTAGATTCCATCATTTGGACCTCCCCAACTGAAACCCCTTTAACAACAGCCAAGACATGTGACTGGGTGCACAAGGCAAAGGTTCTCAGGAGATGGGAGCTGCTGTAACATCTTAAGGGCAGCTAGGTGGCTCAGTGGATAGAGTATTTGACCTGGAGTCAGGAAGACTCAACTGAGTTCATATCTGGCCTCAGATACTTAGTAGCTGGGTGACCCTGAGTAAGTCACTTAACCCTGTTGCCTCTGTTTCCTCATCTGCCAAGAAGACCCCAAATGGGATCACCACTGAACAACAATGCAATAGTTTAAACTGGTGAGATTTGATCTTTTAGGTTAATCAGTTTTCTGTGGAAAATGGGTGATGGGTACAGCTGCAAAGATGGAGGCGAAGCTTGACCTTTAGGAGAGTTTCTCTGGGATGTGGGTGGTGAGTGAAGTTTACAAGGAGAAGGAACCACAAAAGAGAATATTCAATCTAGTTTGATTGAGTCTTAGCAAAATAGAATTAAAATCAGTTTTTAATTTTACAGTACATTAGAGGTCTTGGGATATAGAGATGGGCTGTTATGTATTGGTATAGAATGGGTTCATTGACACGAGAGGTCCTGTAAATGGCAGAGTGGAGCAAGTGTTGGGGAAAGGAACAGAGAGGCTTGGAGGTAGGGGACAGATACAAAGGCACCAAGGTGCTGACAGGGAGGGAAAGGAGATGATGGGGCATTCTTCTCCCACACTGAAATTCTATCTTCTTTGGCTCACAAGTAGGGCAGGGCTGGGAAAGAATCTATTTGCCCACTGCCACATATAGGTGTACACATATAATAGACCAGGCCTGATCCAGGCTGGTCTGCTACCTCAGGTTTGAGATTGAAACAAAATGAGATACTCATAGAATAACTGACAAGCCATTGCAGGGGAAAGATATTTAGAACAGAAAAAAGGTAATTGGTGAGGATACATCCTTAACTCAGATGAGCAGCTTCCTTGCCTTTGGTAACCCACTCGGCCAGCCTAAGAAAGTGGCTGAACCTCCTCATTCCCCACCTTTTTTTGTACTTTTCTCTAGTACCAAATATACTTAGGTATCCTAGCTCCTGGGATCAGATGCTGCACTTGGACCACTTCCATAATAGGTAACGATAAGGCTTTTGCTATGAGAAGCACATTGTTTAGTTCTAGATCCTGTACCTGGTGTCTTATTTATTTTTAAGATCTGATAACTTTCTTAAGGCACAGAAAGAATATTTCTAGGAAATTTATAAGCACCTTGTATAAGCCTAGAGGTCTCTGACAATTCTATAGGTTTATAGAGTTTATATCTCATGTAAAATAAGTACTCTCTCACCGTTCTCATGTTTCACAAAATTACTCTTTTATTCCTTGGGGAAAACTGTTTACTTAAAAAAAAACCTTTAAGAGCTTTAAAATTATTATTACATTCGACTTTATCTTACTGATGAGAAAAAAACCCTATTCCAGTTATTCTAAAAATAATCTCTCTAGTTGGTATCATCTCAACACACCTTTAGCATATACCATTTAAAATTCTAAATGGTGAGTTACAATTTGGGAGATTTGTTATCATTTCCTAAATGTTTGTGGAAGAAGGCTTGGAGTTGTTTCCAAGCATCAATTTGGGCCATGGAGTGGGCCCTAACTTCTCCTCCCCAGATCACAGGTTTGCCCACCAAATTGTGAAAGGAAACCAGGCACACAGGGAAATACGGGAGCTCAATATAGTGTCCTGTTGCAGGGTAACAGATAATCTTGGGTTTTTTCTTCCCATGGGCTTGTAACAATTTGGCAGCTTCATTGGCATAGAATTCACTTTTCCAGTTATGGTCATCCAGACCAACGAGAAACAGGAAACAACTCTCAGCCTTCTGAACTGGAATTAAGCTTGTTCGGTTGGGTTCCTCCAAAGGGTTGTTGAGAGCATCAACGATGTCTGCAAACCCATCTTTAGTCATCTTGATACGTTTTGGGTCACTACCCAGTGGGGGAATGGTCATACCTTTATAGTGTAGTGCACACCCTACATTTGCCAGGGAGCCATTGAGGGTGACAGTAGCTGTGATGTCCTTCAAATGGGAGGCCATGGAGAGGCACAGATCACCCCCTTTAGAAAATCCAAGCAGCCCAACTCCTGGACCCTTTACCTGAGAAAGTCAGAGAATCAGAGAAGGAATGAGAGTAATGTTATGACTAACAAATATAACAGTTAGGCGCAGTTAGGTATCGCAGTGGATAGAGCACTGGCCTTGAAGTCAGGAGGACCTGAGTTTAAATCTGGCCTCAGACATTTGACACTTACTAGCTGTGTGACCCTAAGCAAGTCATTTAACCCAGATTGCCTTAAAAAAAACCACCACCTTAACAATAGCTTTACTCTTGCCCTAAGAGATTAGTGAATTCTGCACTAATCCCTGCTTATATCAACATGACATGTAAAGCTCATGTTATACAGCATTTTCATCATAACCCTATTTTAGAAATATTATGATATCCATTTTTCAGATAAGAAACTGAGGACCAAATTGCCCACAATCACAGAGTGACTTAAAATTCAAGAAAGTTAGGTGGTACAACAGATGGAGCACTGGACCTCCTATAGTCAGGAAGACCTGAGTTAAAATTCTGCCTAAGGCACTTACCAGCCATGAGACCCTGGATAAGTCACTTAACCATATTTACAATTACCTTATCTATAAAAGAACTGCAGAAGGAAATAGCAAACCACTTCACTTCTCAATAAACTCTTACAATAGGAGGTTTCATTCTAAAAATTTCTAAATTTCTAAAAACAAAGAGCAATCAGGGAAAGCATCTACCCCCAGAATCAAAGAAACTAAAAGAAGAATGAAGTCATAAAATGAGAAGACAAACCTGGGAGTGGTTTTTCAGGTACTGGACAGCCTCTTCAAAGTATTCCAGATGAAGTTCCTTCATGTCTTTGGGAAGGTCCTCAAAGGCATAGTATGCCAGGGCCAGCACAGCGAAACCACGTCTAGCCAACAGACTAGCTCTGTATTCAAACAGGCCACCTCCAGTTCCAAACATGTCGATGATCCCAGGGAAGGGCCCTGAGCCTATAAGAAAATCAAAGTCATAAAGCATTCCGTTTAAAGTCTTCCCTCTGAATTCTGAGGATAGTCAAGTTGTTTGCTCTTAGACGACACATTCTGAGACACCATAATATTCCCTGTTCACTACTGCATGAGAGAATATACCTGGGTTACATCTGTACAGTATGCTTTAAAAAACAAAAACAAACTCAATTAACTGGAAAAGAAATAGCTAACATTATATAGTGCTTACTGATGTGGTTTAGGGGTTCAGGGATGCCGGGACCCCAAGATCACAACATGCAGATCCTGCCTGAAAGAATTCGATAGTTTAATTCGATAGTTTAAACCTAAAATTTAAGGCTCAAACAGCAAATCATAAGACAATAGAAAATTTCATCAAAGAAAATGGTAGCAATTAGACAACATTCCTAAACATTTGGGATGACCCAAAACGGTCATAAAGGGGAAATGTGTATCTCCAAACACGTTCACCAAAAAAGAGAAAGACTATATTAATAAATTGGACGTGCAACTTAAAAAAAAAGGCCCTAGAAAACCGACAAATTAAAAAACCCCAACTAAATATCAAAATGCAAATCCTGAAAATCAAAGAATTAACAAAATGGAGAGAGAAACATGAATTGAGAAACAAAACCAGAAGCTGTACTTTAAAAAACCATAAAACAGAAACCAATAACTAGTTTGATTGTTTTAAAAAGAGAAAATAGAAAACCCGAATCAATAGTACCAAAAATGAAAAAGTAGAAAACATAGCAAAAATATTTATAAGCACTCTTTTTTGTTGTAGCAAAGAACTAGAAACAAAGGGAGTATCATTAATTGGGTAATGGCAGAATGAATTGCAGTTTTTATTTATAATGAAAGATCATGAGTTCTCTTTGGACATACTGTGTTTGAGATACTTATAGGACTTCCAACAAAATATCCAAAAGGCTGTTGGTGAGGTGGGAGCTGTGCAGAAAGACTAGGGTTGGAAATACGGATCTGTGAATCATCTGAAAGACTGAATATGGGACTTATTCTCTGTGCATCTTGATTTCCCCACCTGTCAAACAAGAGACTGGAATAAAAGACCTATAAGGCTTTGTTTAGCATCGCTTATAAGTGGTAGAGCCTGTGTTAAAAATAGGTCTTCTAACTCCCAAGGCCAGCATTCTTTCTAGTTCTCTACCCTGCCTTCTAATAGGTTCTGGGAATACGTGGCTAGTAGTAAGTTGTGTGTTAGCCAAGCCAATCAGTCTGTGGTGGGGTATCAGTTAAGGAATCTTTACTCTTTAAACCAATTTAGCCAATGCTTTTATATTTTCTTTGTTTCGGTTTCCCTTAATTTCCTAGAAAAAACCCTTCTTGAAAATTCCAACCTTGTCTCAGCTGAGGAGAGGAGAGAATAGGATTTCCCACACCTAGGCAGTATAGCCATGGAAATCCAGCTATCTCAAAGCCACGCACGATGGTGGCAGCTAGGGATTGCAGTGAATAGAGCAGTGGACCTGGAGTCAGGAAGACCTGAGTTCAAATGTGACCTCAGACTGAGAAGATTAAAATTGATCCAGTTGTTCTTAGTGGTGGTGGCCCTTCATGACGTTCTTCAAGACATCATGAGGGTCATGTCTTGCCCCGAATTGGATTTAAGTGAGGCAGAGCCGAGCAGAGTCATCAGGCTCCCTGTCTCCTCCAAAGTCATTAAAGTCTCGTGGCAAGACAAAAGTCAAAATGTCTGTCAGTGACCCAGGGTGCAGTGGATGACCTTGGCCTTTCTAAATTAAGGTCTTCCCCAGGTCTCAGTTTGTCTGAGGCCACGCCCATTCAATGACTAAGGGCTAGGTCAGACTTGAGACAAAAGATAGCCCAATTTAGCATTACAAATGTCAGTCTAGGAGGGATAGACTCTCACAGTTTCCCACCCAAACAGAAAACAATTGCTATTTATTCTAAGCCATCAAAACCTAAACAATAAGCCATAGAGACTTGGGTTGGGGCTATTATTGGCCATTCAGTGAAAGCCAGAGTGACTTGGGTTTAAAGGCATAGTCAAGTAGCTTCATTTAAAAGACAATGGGCTTTTAAAAAACCTATCTTTTCAGAACTGTATTTCAAGAAAACAAAAATGAAAACTGCACAGGACAAAAAGTAAATCGTCCTATCTTTTTGAAAAACAATGAAGAAGAATTGATCCTGTATCATTTTCTTATTGATCCTATTTTAAAAGTAATTGATTTTACCCTGTAACTGCTTAAGTTATGGTTATTTGTCTCTGAACTTAGTTCAGAGTTCAGCTGGACCATAAGGTTTAAGTTAAAAAATCCAGCTTTCCTGCTCAAGGAAGTTTACTAATGTGTGGGTATGAAGACCCTTACCAATAAATCGGAGACTCAGAGATATTAGCAAAAAGAATAGTTTGTTTTGAATGGGATGTCCCAGTGAAGACTCCTCAGTGTAATTAAGGTTTGGGATAAGGCTGAGTGGGATGAGGGGTCCTGTGAAGACTTTTCAGAAGAATAAATAGAAACTGTATTAGACTCAAGGCAGGAATAGCAGCCCGACAGGCCTATGTTTTGATTTACTAGAAATCACCTGATTTACGGGAATCCAGCCCCAAGTACCCTCCCTTTTTAGGCCATTGTTATATCAGTAGTTAAAGTTTGCCAAGCCTGAAACCCTTGAAACCACCCCCTGTATTTTGTTGTTACACCTGCTGCTATATTTTGGTCATGGTGACCTGGCTATACAGTACAGTGTCTAGCTTGACTGCACATTTTTAATTGCTTCTTTGATATTACTTCAGCAAACTAAGGGACTAAAATATGGATATGTATGTTGTTTCTTTGTTATTCATAACTAAGATATGCATATCATTTGTTTGATATTTGTTTCTATGGTAGAGTTTCCCATTGAGATTGTGAGCCAAATAGTAGACAGTTGGTGGGAGGGGGCCCGTTAGGGTTATTTAATTGGGCTTTTCTGCTTTCTTATCTGTCTCCCTTCATCAGAACATACTGGTAGAAGGACACCCGAATCTTGAGATTTGAAATAATAATAAACTTTTAACTTTCTGTTCCTACCTAGGTACCTCTAAGTGTGTGTTTTTTTTTTAATTTGAGTTGTATCCCAGACAGTTTATTGGCTTTCTCGAGAAAGGGCTCCCTCAGAGCGCCCAAAAGATGGCGCCGACCAAAGAGAGCAGAATTGTGTTCAGCTCAGCAGGTTTTATAGATCCTAACCGCAATCCCGCTGCCCACCCACTGGCTCTTCTTCCCATTGGCTGGGCTTCAGAGCTCACAGTCTAACTGCAGAAACTTCTCCCCAGCACCAAGGACAAAACCACAGAATGGTTTGCTTCAACAACTAGGGAGGGGGCCTGAGGAGGGATAGAATCCAGGTGAACAGGATGTGGCTGTCACCTGATCTACTTGTGACACTGCTTTCTCAGCTAGGCAGCTTCAGAGAAATAGAGGGAGGGGTCAGCTACACTGAGGGGGCTTCACTATTTCAGCATTCCATTCACTAACCTTGTGGAATGTGTGAGAAAGCAAGGCAGTTTGGGCCTGATATCTTTACTCTATCATACTATTCTTCAAGGATGTCTAGTTTACTGTCCAAAAGTCTGGGCCACTGTCTCTCACCTAGACTCAAACAAAAAGTACTTCTTAGACTCAGGAGAGAAGAAGGGGGTTTACTGCTAGTCCCCATTACCAAAATCTAGCCAATAGCTTACTATGTTGTTCCCTTTGTCCCAGCTCTGTAACCAGTCATGATGCCCTTAATTCCATGTTGGCTACCTTGTTCTGTTCTTTGTTCTATACTTCCAAAACCTCTTGCTGGAAGAGCTGCAACTGGGGTTGGGCAAATAGAGCTGTGCCCCCAGGGCATGCAGCCTTAGAGGAGGGGTGCTTTTACCCTGGGAGAGTGTCCTTCCTTCCAACCTCAAAAAATTGTCCCTGCACCCCAGGCCACTGCCAGTCATCTTGACTTTTGTCTTGCCATTGGACTTTGATGACTCTGGAGGAGACAATGAGGCTGATGACTTTACTTACCTCTGCCTCACTTAAACTCTGCCAGCAGCCGGTGTGCTGCAAGACAGAGCGGTGAAAGAAAAATGGGGAATGGGAAATGGAGAAAGAAAAGTCAGGCTAGGTGAGTCTGAGATTAATGCTCAAGACTAGTTTATTTCAGGTGTTTTCATGATTATATACCTATAGAAAACAGCTTTGTACCAGGAGAAACTATCTACAAGAGCTAATTAACAACATAAACAAACCAAGCAGCTAAAGATCCTCACTTTCTCTTGACAAAGTAGTTTTAATGCCAAAATTCATAACTATTGTTTCCCTGCCCAGCTCTTCGTGTTATCTGCCCGAGTCAGCCCCCGGACCTCAAGGCTGGTCAGGAGTGAGAACTTAGAATCAACAAACCCTAACAAATGGAATTGGGGCAAGAGTCAAGGGAGCGTTTATCCTGAGGCAAGCCTCTATAGTACTGACCCCTTAAGCCTGTAAGGACTTAGAGATTTTCCATAAGGACCTGGCTCCCTACAAACCCAATTAACAAGTAAGTCAAAATATCACCCTCCTATTGTTAGAAACAGGGTTCAGACGCTCCTTGGTAAGGTTAGGAAGTTCCTGGGCGAGCTGTTGCAGCCCACTATTTCCCTAACTGCCAACCATCAGAGTTCTGTTCTCCTTCAAGGAATGAAAATGAACCAAAGTGAGCGAAGGAAGTGTTTATTTACGGTTCTTGCAGGAAGTGGGGGTGTGGTACCCCAAAAGGACACACACCCCAACAGAAGCCAAAGCAAGCCTTTTGTGCAGTTAGTTCCTTCTTGTCCCTCCCTTCAGAGCTGAGATTGGTCCCTGCTCTTCTGGGTTACAATCTTCCTGATACTCTCACTTCATGTCATTCCTTAACATGTCCTTCCTCCTGTTAACATATGAAATGTGCCTAGTTTTGTGCTATTGCTCTCCTCTGGGCAGAGAAGTTAGTATTACTGAGCCCATCATGCATGTGCATGCACACTCTAAGTAAAGTTTAACCTTTGTCCTACTTCCAGCCTCAGCTGCTTTTAGCCAGTGCTAGATTCTCTGACCTAGTGCTACCTTTTCTCTCAATTTCCTCATATGGAAATATAATCCTGTCTTACCTCCCACACTGTTATCATTGGAACCAAGGAGGAACAACTCCCCAATACCTATATAAGGCAAACTGTTCTTTTGTTCCAGGTCTTTGGCATTAATGGAGGCAAGCCATTGACTCTTGACAGGTAGCATGCCTCTTGTAATAAATGTTATCTTGTACAGAGACCTGCCTCAATTTACCTTTTTGTTAAATTTCAATCGAAACAAGATATTGTAGGGAAGTCACTTAACCTCTGATGCCTCAGTTTCCTCAACTGTAAAATGGAAATTATAGTAATAGCACCTACCTCACAGGATTGTTGTATCAAATGCTCATAACATTGCCTGGTACATAGTAAATGACGGGGTTGGGATCTAAAGGAAAAGGAAGGAAAACCCTGGACTTTCCCACATGGCCAAATTTCTGGTGTTTGCCTAAGGCTATATTCCCATCAACTGGCCTTTCATTGTGGCTACACCAATCTCCCCTCCATTGTCTTGCCTCCCTAAAGCCCCAGGCCACTTCCCACCCTTGGTAATGGACTACTTAGCCACTCCTAGATGTCTCCCACAGTCTTTCTGTATATAAGGTCCATCTTGTCTCCATTAAGACGGTGGGATTCTTATAATCTAGCCACTGCTCAGATTCTTAAAATCTAGCCAATAGCTTACTAATGTTCAGATTCCTTAACTGTCTGCCCAATATGATGGATTTAGGTTTAAACTAATCAATTAATTTTTAATCCTTTCTTTAAAAAATTTAATTTTTATCCTGAACTTCAACACCAAAAAGAGCATTTATATCTATAGATACATGCACACATGTATATCTCAGAACATAAAAAAGAGGATTATATATGAAATCAGGAATTTCCATTTTGTAGAAAAAGGATATAATAAATTCCACAGATCACTCTCAAAACTATCTTGCTTATCTATGTTTCCTTCTGAACTTCTTTCTGTACTCTTCTGAACATTAAAAAAAAAAGTTTCAATGGCTCTTTTGGCAAGGGTGAGAATCAATATTCTTATCATCTCTCTTCCTCCTATCCCAAATTAAAAACTGAAAGAAAGGGGGAAAAACACTTTTGGAACAAGTAAACACAGTTAAGCAAAATTAATCCTTACAGTTTCCATGTCAAAAATTTTTTATCCCTGCACCTTGAATAAATTATCCCTCTCTCTCTTAACAAGTTGGTAACATGCATCAAGTTGGAGAAATAATTGGTCACTGCATTCATCAGAATTTCTAAGTCTTTCAAAGTAGTTTCCCTGCCCCCCCTTCTTTACAGTGGTGCTATAACCCCTTCCTCCATATTTGTATATTCCTCAGCTACCTCAGTTGTGGGGAATAGCATGTTCTACCATCTCTTATTCCACCCATACACACTAGTGTATTCCTTTTATTCTCTTCTCTTTCTTCTTTTAAAATCTTCAGAATGGAATCAATCCATCTCCGGGATCTCCATTTTCCTAATGTAATTCCCTCAATACACTTTGACTACAGTAAGATTCTGAAGGGCAACTTGTTTCTTCTCTCTCATAAGGATGTTAGCACTATATCATACTATAGCTGCTTCCAATCACTAAAAATAAATTTAACTTTATAGATTTCCCTTGAGTCTTGTTTTCTATTTCAAAGTTCTTACTAAGCTTTTGTCTTTTTCATCAGAAATGCTTGAAAATCCTCTATTTGATTAAAGATCTACTTTTCCCCTTGTTGCATTGTACTCAGTCTGGCAGAGTTACTTTTCTTTGTTTTTTGCTTTTGCTTTTTGGTAAGGGTTAATTGATTTGCCCAGGATCACACAGCTAGTAAGTATTAAGTGTCTGAGTATGGATTTGAACTCAGGTTCTCCTGACTCCAAGGCCAGAGCTCTATCTACAGCGCCACCTAGCTGCCCCCATTATTTTTGGTTTTAAGCTAATATATTTTACCTTTTGATATATTGTATTTCAAGATCTTCTCTCATTGATAGTGGAAGCTTAATAGGTCTTGTGTGATCCTGAGTGTGGTTCCTTGGTACTTGAATTGTTTCTGAATACTTGCAGTATTTTTTCTTTTATGTGAGAGCTCTGAATTTGGGCCTTGACACACCTAACCCTTCTCATATTGTAGTTTCTTGTTCTATGTTTTCTTGGCTTTGTTCATTTTTTTCGTCTCAGCGTCACATAGAACTTTTACAAAAGTTGACTAGAGCACAGGCACAAATCGTCCGTGTGAACATTTGGAGTAGAAATGTCTCTAAATTTGCACACATATAAGCATATATTATATCATATAATAATATATTATACAATATATTATCATATAATATATTATGGATAACTATATACATAATATATACATATATATTAAATATAAATACAAGCCAAAAAGAGTCCCTTTCCCTTAAAGAATTTGTGTTCTACAGATGACATTTGCCTAGATAGGTATATAGAGGTATATAAGTGTATACCTCTTGCCTAGACTATTGTAATAGTCTTCCTGCCTCCAGGATCTCCCCTCACAGCCACTGCTAAAACTCAGGTCTGACCCTGTATGTCATTCCCCTTCTCAAGAAGTTCCAGCGGCTCCCCAATTCCTCTGACATCAGTAACTCTTCACAACTTGGCTCCAGTCCACCTTTTTACACATACTATGCATGACTCAGCAGTATGTACTCTCCAGTACACACAAATTGGCCTACCTGCTGTCCCTCACCAAGTCATCCACCTTTCATCTCCGAGCCTTTGCTATCCCCTACACCTGGCCTTTAAGTATATAAATTCCTTCAAAGCTCACTACAAATACCACTTCCTACCTCAGGCTCTTCCTAATTCCTAGTACCTGTTGGTGCTTTCCCTACCCACTCTGAAATTATATTGACCTTGTATTTGCTTTTTTTTATGGGCTGCTGGGTGGCACAGTGGATAAAGTGGTTGGCCTAGGGTCAAGAGCTCAGTCTTCCTGAGTTCAAATCTGGCCCCAAACACTTACAAGCTCTTTGGCCGTAGACTAGTCCCTTAGCCCTGTTTGCCTCAGTTTCTTTATCTGTAAAATGAGCTGGAGAAGGAAATGGAAAACCACTCTAGTATCTTTGCCAAGAAACACCAAATAGGGTTATGAAGAGTAAAAAAATGATTTAACAACAACAAAAATTTGCTTTTCATATATTTTCTAACTACCTCTATGTTTGTGTATTGTTTCTCCATGTAAGTTCTTTGAGAACAGAATGTATTTTTTTCTTTTCAATCTCCTTTACCTAAACACTAGTAACTCCTCTGAGTTTAAGGAAAAAACTTTTTTTTCCACCTTCTATACTTAAATCTATCTTTATTTAGAAAGTGTCATCACTGCTACTATATTATTGTCTTGGCTTAGCCATGTGAATGAGATCATACCTCAGTTATTTGCTTCTTCCTTTGTTCCTACCAAAATCATTTTATAGCTCTACTTTTGTCTTATTTGTATCAGTACTTTAAATAAATGTCTATATATTCTGTTTTGTCACCATAGTAAATATTTCTCCATCAATTTTTCCTCCTTTGTGTTAGTGATATAAAAATTCCTTCAATTTGTCTGACTTTCCTGCTAAAGTCATTTATTACCTCAATTTTTTCTCCATTCTCTTAGATTTTAAAAAAATACAATCACAACATCCACAAGAGAGACAGTTTAACAGTTTGTTTGCCCATTTATTCCTGTAATTCTTTTTTTATGCCCCCCCCTTTTTTTTTGCTAAACTTACTTTAATATTTCAAGTACCTATGATCTTGTCTCTGGGTGGGGGAGCACAGTCCCTGCATAACTGATCTTTGAAAATTATAGTGGTTGATAAACTTAACCCTTCCCAGCAATACAAGGATCTAAGATATCTCCAGAGGCCTCGTGATGGAAAATGCTATCCACATCCAAAGAAAGAACTATGAAAGTTAAATTGCTATCTTTTTTTTTTCTCTTCTGTTGAGTTTTGTTTCCTCTTTCTGATGGTTCCTCCTATTGGTTTTAGGTTTTACTTATAACACCACTAATGTGAAAACATGTTTAATAGGAATGTAAATGCATAGCCTATATCAGACTGTGCGCTGTCTTGGGGAGGGTGGTGGGGAGGAAGGGAGAGAAAAATTTTAAACTCAAAAGCATATGGAAGTGATTATTGGTAAATCAAAATAAATTAATAAAATTTAAAAAAAATTACAGTGGCTAAAAAACTCACCATTGAAAGGTACTCTGGTCAGGAGCTTACCTAGGCTGGGATTTAGACAAGAGAGACATGTAGTATCAGCATCTGATGATGCCTTACCAGTTTGATAGGGCTTGCCCCAAATAGCATAACCTTTAATGAATATGTAAGGATACCAGACAATCGCAAATGTTTGCTTTATGCAACTGAGGTCATGGGACTTAGAGGAGTCTAGTGGTGAATTCCTGGACCTGAACCTGAGACTTCAGTCATGGCTCAGAAATCATGGGATTTAGAATTGGAAAGAACTTTAGACTGATTTCTAAGTCAACTCCTTAGTGCTTCCCCCCCTGCCCCCAAACCCCTGAGAGATGTCCATCCATCCCTGTGACATCTCAAGCTTCTTTTAGAATGCCAGGGGGATCCCTGGAACTTCAGAATGCTAGAACATCCTGCTGTAGGAGACAGAAAGAAAGAGGGGTGGGTGATTAAATGAGGGGTCAGAGAAGAAAAGCACGGGAAGGAGGCGGGGGTCGTAGGGGCACTCACCTGGAGGCAGGAAGAGAGTGGCCCGCACGTTGCCCTCTCGCACCGGGATCCTCTTCACCCCTGGCCCCAGGAAGCCCCGCTCGTGGACCACCTGTGCCAGCACCTTGGTGGGCTGGGGGTCGTGACCCTCGTACACCTCGAGGTCCACGAGGAAAGGGGTCTGCACGTCCCGCTTCACCAGCCGCCAGTAGGGCTTGTCGGGCTTCATGCTCCAGAAGAGCCCCATGGGCTCCACGCCGCGGTAGCTGCCCCCCAGAGCGGGCGCCCGCGCCAGGTCCAGCTGCCCGCCCGCGTCCGCCTCGTAGCGGGCCGAAGCCTGGAAGAGCTCCCCTTTCTCATCGCGGAGGGAGGCGCGCAGGGTGACTCGCTGGGCCGGGGCCAGACCGTGCACGGAGATCGCCAGCGGCTCGTCCCACAGGCTGCGGGGCCCGGGAGTCAGGCGCACGCTCACGGCCATGGAGGAGGAGGCGGCCTGTTTGGAGAAGGCCCAGAGGCTGGAGCCGACGGTCGGAGGCTCCGCGTTACTTATCAAGGGCGGAAAAGCACGCGGGGCCCGACTGCGCGGAGTGGGCGGCCACGGGGATTTTGCCCAGTCTGCCGAGAGTCTTGCGAAACAGCGGGGACTTCGCATTAAAGCCATGAAGCGATAGAAGGAGGTGCCAGTCTGAAAAAAGGGTTTCTAACCGCGGACAGCAGAACTAAGGGATGAACCGGAGCCCCGACTCCCTATCAAAATCAGCTTTACTGAGGCCAGCAATGTCACGGGATCATAATCCATAACTTCATAAGCCCGTAGATATGTCAGCGAGGTCAGCAGACCCTGGCACCGGGAGTGACAAGTGCAAGCGGGTGAGTCTTGCAAAGGAGATCCTGAAATGCTCCAGAGCCCCGTCCCTGCATCTCAGTCTAACGGGGAGAAGATGCTGTCTCTGGAAATGCAAGGCAGTGCTTCCGTCACTCCGCCCCCACTCACCCCTAGCGGTATTTCATTGTTTGGTTTCTCCCAGAAAGTCGAGATTCTTTTTTTTTTTTTAATATGGTACCGTATATTTCAGAGTTTAATACTCAGCATAGTTAACTAGAAAATTTCTCCTGTGTTTTGAATTCTAATTTTAAAAAATCCGAGGATGTCTTACCTGCCTATGGGGGAAGAATTTCAGTTTGCCAATTAAAAGCAAACCATTAAAGGCATCATATACATAACATATTCTCAACATTCTATTAAGGGGAATTCCCCCTTTTTTCTTTTTTGCTAGGCAATGGGGTTAAGTGACTTGCCCAGGGTGACATAGCTAGTAAGTGTCAAGTGTCTGAGGCCGAATTTGAACTCAGGTCCTCCTGACTTCAGGGCTGGTGCTCTATCCACTGCGCCACCTAGCTGCCCCTATTTTTTTTTAAAGCATTTTGTACAGTGCCTGGCACATTGTAGGTGTTTAATAAATTCATATTCCCTCCTTCCTATCTGCCTTTACAAAGGAGCACCAGGTGTTCTCTGAGCTCAGACAAGTACCCATGTCCCAGACACGAAGCCCTGCTAGGAATCAAACTTGTCTCACTGTTGCTGTTATGGCTCATTGTCAGGGCTACAGCTTGCTTCCAAGCCATTGGTATAAGCATTGACATCTCCCCATACTGCCTGGGTTCCCCCCATGGCACATGCGTCTAATCTGCCTCTTTGCTTGCAAGCCTTTTCTCCTCACTTTGACATTCAGCTTCTGTTTGATTCCTGATTCTCCTGTCTCTAGCCTGCTCTGTTAGGCTACAACCACCTGCAGATTAGAGGCTGGTTTGGTCCGGTTGACAGATATGAATCCCACTTTTCCTGTATCCAAGGCCAGCATTTTACCCACCACTCCATGCTGGAAGGAGAGCAGAGAGTGCTGGTACATGGTGACAGAGTCATTGGTAGTGGGCAGTTGACCCGTTTTGTCATGGGAGCAGTGAGTGAGGTAAGTGAATGCAGAAGCGTTCTGGGTTCTCCTTCTACAAGTTCATCTTGGAATGTGTAGGTATACTCACAAGTATTTTTTCTGGCCCACAACTTGTGGCTTGTTTGCCAATATATAGTGGAGTGAACAATGGAGAGAGAGAGTTACGAGGTCTGACTTTGCCTCAGCTTCATGGAAAGATTTCTTCCCCAGCTTTTGCCTCCATGCTCATCTGCCTCTGTATCTTGGCTCTCCACAGGATGAATGCCCTTCCCTTTCTCCTTAAACTCTTCCCAACACCAACTGTCCTATTCCTACTCCCACCCTTTAAGGCCTGGCCTACTTTGTGAAATCCTTCTGCATCCCCCCAGCTGGAAGTGACCCCTTTTGAGTCTTGCCAAGATTATCGGCTCATCTGCATTCCAGTCCACAGTAAAGTAATATTTCTTAGCTTCCTGGTGTTGTGCACCACTAGTTCACTTGGCTATAAGAGCCTACCTGGGGCCTAGGTTTTCCCAATCACCTGATGAATCAAGACCAGCTTGATTTCCTATCTCGAATGCACATTGATGAGGCAGGATGGAAGCAACTCTGTTTATTTTTAGCAAAGCACTTACTTATATAGTAAAATAACAGGAACTCTTTCTCAAGATACAATGATGTATAGCCCATGCTGTGCTCAAGAACAGTGCATGCATGTCCTGTGCACTTATCTGACTCCAATCCCAGAATAGATTCCTAATGACCATACAATAAGTAGGGGAGTTAAAGATTGTTACAGATCCATACAATGGAGCACCGAACCAGGTGACCTTTGCTCAAAGATCAGCACCCGAGAGGGCCCTTCACCCATCAGTGAGACCTCTTGAACAGCCTGTGGCTCTCTACATCCTTATAGATCCCTAACAGTTCCCCCTTTTTGTTTTTGTTGGAGACATAGCATATGAAGCTCAGTCCCAAAGTCCTTTATCTGATTAGCTATGCACCTGAGCAAACACGGTCCAAAACACAGCATGGCCAGCAATAGTGAACATAGTGGCAACAAAGAAGACAATAGAGCCATAAGCCAATGTCCAAGCTTATCAAAAGGGTTATGGAGTTTATCTAGCCAATCAAGTATATGTTGGGCAGTTTTATCTGGCATCAAATCTTTATCAGCCACCCTTGCAATATCTTTAGCAATTTCATATAAGTCATCAATATCCACTGCAATAGTAGAATTGCCAAACAGCCCATTTAGATGCCTATGTATTCTTTGCCAATCCCGTTGGGATTTATTGTATTTAACATTGGTAAGGCAAATGAATTCATACCTATAATCACATTTCAAATGTGTTCTATATTCTAAAATATCCAATTCATCACCTATTTCAATAATGGTTTCCTTCATTCCCTCAAGCATATGGTAAAATTCATCATCTATCCTTTTTTGTGTTTGAAAACCTTTAGATACATTGTGAGCTAATTGATCCATAAAATCAGCTTGAACCGTTTCATTTCTTGCGATAGATATAGATTGAGATAAAGATACAGAAGCAGTTATGATAGCTACAAGTGAAACAATTCCTAATGAAATGAAATACATGAAATACATCTCTTTTTCCTAGCAACTGCTAATTGATTACTTTGGTCTATTATTCCAAAAATATGATCAGAACGTGACTCATACCAATCTTTGCTTTTCACAGGCACCAAGGCAAACTTTTGTTGTGTAATAACAAAAATAATTTGGTCTCTAATCTTGGTTCCTATACATTCAGACATCCTGCAATTAATACAAGTGACATTATATTCCCCTGAATCCACGGCCGTTATATTAACATTCTGTGCTCTTCCCCACATAAATGCATGATTACCAGTCAAACAAGCTCGCATTGTCATATTATCATGGATGGTCCCTTGCAAATTCGTGATGTTTATGAGGCCTAAGGCTGCCCACGCTTTCCACAACTGATTTTCAACCCCTCTGTCATGAAGGGAAACCCACTGAGGAATTAGAAACCTGCCAAAAGCCCAAGTATGGTTGTTTTTCTCCCTAGTATAATTGTGCCAGGATTGTAACGTAAAATTCTTTTGTAACACAACACAATGACGTTCTGAAGTATGATAAGATAACCAAGGAGGATACCCTAAGCTCTTGCTAATCGGTGTCACATGATAGCATGGCTTTGAATTACTTGGACGTCTGATAGGTATGTCATTAACACACTGTGACACCAAGATGCCCGTGTAAGTAACCTTATAAAATTGAAAAAAGACAACAGTATAAGGAGGGGGTGCCGTGTTATTAAACACATACCCATCAATATGGGTGGTGACATTAAATAATTGTAAACACGTGGAGTCTTGGTGTCATTGCCTTTTGTAACACAAATAGGTGGCACCAAAGCCACAGCAGTAAAGTTCATTTTTACAGTGTGTTGAGACCGGTTCTTAGGTGATATGAAATGAAATTCCTTGCCAAAACCTGTGGAGGCATTTCCTTGCAGAATGACCTCAGGTGTTGTCTCTCCCCACATAACTAGTCTGGGCCATGGTGGTTTTGTCACGAAGGCCCATCGTGTTGTATTTCCTGTCTCTGCTGCTGCTGTAGTCTGCATCCCTGCTGATGATAACGACAAGAGGCACAGCTTGGTTAAAAGTTCTTGTAGTGCCTTCTTCTTATTCTTTCAGCTCCTTCAATTTCCTGGCTGGCCTGTGTTTTCTGCTTGCCTTGTCCCTTCTGAATGGATAATGCGGACATCCTTCGTTCTGACCCAGAGTTCTCTATCACCTGTGAAAATAAGAACAAACCCTTGCCCCCAGGTTAGCACTTGCCCTGGACCCTGCCAGACACCGTCAACGTCTCTCCACATGACTTTCATATTATGTTTAGGAGAAAGGAATCTGTTTGATTTAGTGGTGTCACTAGTACTGTTGTCATTTCCTGCCAGATATTTCATTGCAGGGAGAGGTTACAACTATCGAATTTTAAATAATTTATAGTGTAGAGTGCAGTGTTCAATTGATGCCAAGGGGATCCCTTAGCTCCCCCTTTTTTTTTTGGAGCACCATTTTCAAGGTACGATTGGCACGTTCAACTATGGCCTGACCACGAGGATTATAGGAAGGCCAGTAGTGTGACTAATAGAGAACTCAGTACAAAACTTTTTAAAACCTGCAAATATATGCAGGACCATTATCAGTCTTTAAGCATTGGGGTGGGCCAGCGAAGGAAAAACAATGAAGCAAATGATTAATAACATTGTGAACAGCCTCACCCGCTTGAGCAGTATCAAATAAAGCCTGAATAAGTATCAATAGAAACATGAACATATTTTTGTCTTCCAAAAGGAGAATAATGAGTAACATCCATTTGCCATAAGGTGTTAGGTGTAAGTCCCTTGGGGTTATGGACATCAACGTGGAAAGGGAGTTGAAAAGGCACACAAGTAGTAGCACAGCGCTTAACAATTTCACGTGCTTGTGATTTTGTTATACCATATAAAGTTCTTAAAGACCTAGCAGATAAATGTAACTTATTATGACTATTCCTTGCTATTTCCACATTCATTGTTAAAGATTTATCAACAAGATTATTACCTTCAAAAATTGGTCCTGGGGCAAGAGTGTGGGAACGAACATGAAAAACAAAATTTTTCTGTCCTATTCTGTATCATAAGTTGTATATCATTAAGCAGCTGACATATATTGTTACCAGTATTTTTTATTACAGCAGTCTCTAGATGTTTTAGAATTCCTTCAACATATTTAGTGTCTGTGATAATATTCATTGGCTCCTCATGTTTTTGAAATGCACAATAGACAGCATATAATTCACTCTTGTGTGGATATAAAGGGTGTTTCAATCACATGTAACTCCTTTCTTTTAGGGCACCAGATAGAGGCCTTATTCATCTTAGTGGCATTAGTAAAGACATTAATCCCCTGTACGGGTTCACCTGCTGTTAAGTGTAGGTTGTATCCAAGGCCAATTCTCAAAGATTGCATGATATTTAAAGGGTTTTCCATACACAAGTTTCAAATTGATATTCACTTGCCAGTTAGGCATTGTTTGTATTGCTGTTTCAATCATTTGTTGAGAAAATGGAAGGTGTATGACTTCCAGATGTGTGCCACATAATGTTAAACACCTGTTGTCAATTTTATGTATTAAGTCCCCTATTAGGACCATATAATTACTTAAAGTATTTTTAATTTGGAGTGTTAAATATAGAAGCCTCCATACTTTCATGCCTATCAATCCTGTTTGTGTGTGCTCCCACTACTTGTTCCTGAATATACAGCAATGTGTGTTTTGCCTCAGGGGTCAGTATTTGGGGTGAATCTAATTGAGGATCACCTCTAAGGCAATCATATAAAGGTATCAATTCATAATTTGGAATGCCTATCTGTGACCGAAGCCACTGTATATCTCCTATAAGTTTCTGAAAATCATTAAGTGTTATCAACTTTTGTAGGTCTATTTTTGGAGGATGTAGAATTATTTTTTTCTTGAAGTGTCTGGTGACCTAAATATTGCTATGGAGGATGTTTTTGAATTTTTTCTGGGGCTGTTTGAAGCCCTTGACTTTGCAACAAATTTTGTATTTTTAACAAGATTTCTTCCAACACTTCAGGATTGGGATGAGCACATAAAATGTCATCCATGTAATGTATCATTTTTAGCTTTTGTAATGGAATAGTAAAAAAGCAGTCTTTTAAATCAATAAGTATCAAAGGCTAGGAAGTCATAAAGCATCGTTAATTCTCCTGACTTCTTTGCAACAATAATAAACAGGTGAATTTTAAGGAACCCAAACAAGTTCATTGGATTTCATTTTGTATTTTGTCAATCTTATGGATAGAAAAAGCGCAAACAGTGGGCGGGAGAAAATAACAGCTCTCAGTAAATGTAAAATATCGTGCCCACAAATTAAGGGGAGATGAATTGTTTTAGCTATCTGTTATCCTAGTAGTTTAACTTCATCTTAAAATAATTTATTAGTGGTGATTTATTAGGCAAGCTAAAAGTAATTAATATCTGTAAAAGTCATGTGAAAATTATTAAAAATTATCAAGGAATCTTGATTAATTTGTAACATTTTGGTGGTATGCCTGCAGACTGCAGAACAATACACCCAAAGTAAGCAAAGGGTGACACCCTCTGTACCCTTTCAGGGGTAATTATAAATCTATGAGACTGAAAGGCTTGTTGACTGAAAAGCTTGTTAAAACTTGGGCATTAATAAGGAAAGTTTGGTAGCAGTAGGACAACTGCAAAGTTTATCATCCATACAATAAATTATTTTTGTCTGGGAATATTTCTGACTAACAAGTTTAATAGTGTGATGAACAAAATTTTTGCACATGGTAAGAAACATTCCTCCTGAATGGATCATAATAGGGAAAATGGGAAATACTGATTTAATAAGACAACCATACCCAAATTCAAGGTCAAAACAAAGTTAATTATAGTTCTAAGAGTTTTTTACCTTGAGCAGTAAGTTTCACTGATTATGGCTTAAAGCCAGATACAGTTAATTATTTTCATAGAAGTGCAATAATCAATAAAGATTTACTAGGACTCACATATATAAGAAATTTTGCTTAACATCCTTTTTTTCCCACATTTAAACTTGTCGGTGAAAAAGCCAATTATTAGAAATTATTTATATAAAGTTGCAATTTCTCAGTCTTAGCTTTAAAGCAGTAACTTCAAATAACTTAGTTAACAATTTGGTAATTTTCATGAGTGATAGTTAAATTGTTTTACCTCTAAGCTGTTCTTTAATCATAGGTAAAGACAGAAATACCTGATTTTCTAAATGACAGTTATAAAACATCATAGAACAAGATTAACCAGACTTGATACAATAATTTAGCTGGATTTACATAGTTATCTCACTACCTTTCAGTTTCTTTTAGTTCACATTTTAGTAACATCTAAATTATTAAAAATTGCTTGACATAACACATGAAAGTGTACCAATTTGTAATGAGACTAGATTTTTTAAAACTTGAAACATACATATTGCTAATGTGAATGAACTAAATTATCTTTAGATTGTGTTCCAATACTTAAAAACTTTTCTTTTTGATCTTAAGAGGAAAACTCGTCCTCCTTATCTTTTCCCTCTTTCTCCCCCACCCCAGCCTGGCCAGGGTTGGAATTTGAGAGAAAGGAAGAGAATATTTTTCAACATAATCTTTCAATCTTACACCCAAAGCTTTGGTCAGAGCCTTAGAATGCAAAAAAGAAAGAGAATTTTTTCTCCAAAAGTTTCTAAATCTTTTACTCTCAAATCATCTATTCCTGCTATTCATGCAAACAGATTATATTATTTTTTCTATCCATGCTTTTCTTTATTCCTGTATGCTTAAACTTTCTTGCCTTTTGTCAAATTATATAACCTATATAATGAAGTACCTTTTCTCCCATTCTCTCCCCTATCCACCCGCTCCCGGGAATGCGGCTGGTATTAGGACGGGGGAAGGGCAGAAAGTCACTATCAGCATTTCAGAATCCAGTTGCAGCCCTTGGCTGCCTGGCAGTGAAAGATCAAATAAATTATAAACATTAATCACAGACCATCATTCACACAGACACAGAGAAACATAGAACAAAATGACGGGGAGAATCCAAAAGCAAGAAACTTGTCAGAAATTCCCTACACAAATGAAATAATACTATTTTTATTTTATTTTATCTTTTCTTTCCATGGTATTCTAAAATCAGGCAAAATTTTTCTTAAGGTTTTGGTTTTTATAAAAGGCAAAACAATCTGTAGTTGTATAGGGACCTCTCCTTATGCCTCTTGAGTCTGTCTAACAGCTCAGGGTATGGAGAGTGTGGAGGGGGTTTTGAAGCTTCAGCTAAGTCAGGCTATAACCTATAATAAATCTTAGGTCTGTTCTCTCTCTCAGGAGAGCCTGCTCTACTATTGTTAGGTGAGCACAACGAAGAAGTTGTTTGAGTACAGGCAGGGAATTTTCTCTTCTCACCCTGTATGTCAGCTTGCGAGCCCATTTTTATAAGATTATATATAGTGAAAGTGCCCAGGGGAACTGATTTCGGGCCTTTGGTATTATAAAATTCTGTCAGTTGTTCCCCCACTATCTTCCATGGTTCTAAATTTAAACTCCCTTCCCTTGGAAGCCATGGAGATGTTATATCAATAATGTCTAGAAACTCTCTTATTTTCTTGGGAGTTACTGAGCACCCCTGTTCCTTGATCACTTGATATATTACTCTAACATTCTGTTCCTTTTCTGAGAGTTTACCTAAACTTTGCCCCATGGTAAGAAATTCTCTTACCCCTCTGTATCTTGCAACAGGATACGAGTCGGAGAACTCTTTCTAAGAGGCTGCCTGGCTCCAACAGACCTCGGTGTCTTGATGTGGGTGTCGCGTCTTCTTTGTCCAGACGTTTCCCGACTGTTTCATGCATCTGTCTTACTCTCCGTATCTTCTTCCCGGCAGCAGTGCAGCCCCACATTGGGCGCCAGTTTGTTGTGAACAACTAGTTCACTTGGCTCTAGAGCCTACCTAGGGCCTAGGATTTCCCAATCACCTGATGAATCAAGACCAGCTTGATTTCCTATCTTGAATGTGCATTGATGAGGCGGGAGGCAGGATGGAAGCAACTCAGTTTATTTTTAGCAAAGCCTTACTTATATAGTAAAATAACAAGAACTCTTTCTCAAGATACAATGATGTATAGCCCATGCTGTGCTCAAGGACAGTGCATGCATGTCCTGTGCACTTATCTGACTCCAATCCCAGAATAGACTCCTAATGACCATACAATAAGTAGGGGAGTTAAAGATTGTTACAGATCCATACAATGGAGCACCGAACCAGGCGACCTTTGCTCAAAGATCAGCACCCGAGAGGGGCCTTCACCCATCAGTGAGACCTCTTGAACAGCCTGTGACCCTTTACATCCTACAGATCTCCAACATCCTGGGTCTGCCAAACTCTAGGAATTTATTTCTGAGGCAAGTTTAAGGAGAGAGAAGGGGTGCTAGAAGCTTCTTCCCCCTTTCTGCCCCTGGTAGGTTTGAGGCTTAACCCCTTCTTGGGTTAATGAGCCAAATGAACCTTATCCATGCATGACGAAAGTGGAATCTGTTCTATAGCAGAAAACCAGGAAATAGTTATCCCTTCCACATTGGGAGTAGGGGTCGGGGGAGGAGTTAGGGGCCTAGCATAAAATTTTTTGACCCCTCCCTTCATTCCAGAGAAGTCTGGATTTTTCCTTTTTCTTTTCTGGGGGGTTTATAATGCCTTATTGTAAAATTTCGGTTACATATTTGGTCGTAGGCTCTGTGTTGTCTGTGCTGGCCTTTGAGTGCCATCTGTGGCTTCACAAAACTCCCAAAAAATTCCCGTTTAATTTCTTCTCCTGACCAGAGATATACTGGGGATAACTGTAAATCAACGTCGGGATGTACCTAGGATAACTGTAAATCATACCATAGCATATAGGACACAACCACTTTGAGAAGGGTAGTTGGTTGGATGTTTTTAAAGGGAGATTTGCTGTAAAGCCAAATTTGTCCTCAGATTAGGTTCTGAGAAAGTTCTTAGTCTTTAGGTTCTGAGAAGGTTAATAGAACACAAAAGAACTTATTGGTTGCTTGGTAATAACTGTAAACAGCTTCAGAAACAGGGAAGCTAAAACAGCCTTAGAATACTAACTCCTATTCATTCTGCCAGGACAATGTGAGAAAAGAGTCGCTTACAAGGTAAATCTGAAATGCTGTACTGCTCCTCATTCCCATAATGTATGGAGGGTTCTTTAAAAAAAATAATTTTAATTTAAAAAAACACAACTTTTTTTTTTCACCCAGAAGGAGGTTTCTTAAGATCAACTGATAGAAGTTGGTATTTCCAGGATGTGACTTCTTTCTGGACTGGAGATAAGAAATACTCAGAGCAAGAAATAGAAATTAGATAGCAAAAAAGAGCGAGGCAAAACTTGGAATCATACAGGTTTTCAAGCCTGCCCAGGGATCTTTTGGAAATCATCTAGTCTAGATGTGTCTAACTCATGGCCTCAAAACTTCCAAGTGAGGCACCTGATTAAAACTTAACTTTGGAAATGTTTAACAAATTAGGTAAAAATACAATACAACATAGATAATGTTAATCTGTGGTTTACTAAGTCAATATGAGGCCCACAGGGATCCATGTCCATTTGAGTTGGGGCCACTGATCTGGTCCAATGCTTTCTTTTTACAAATGAGTTCACTGAATTTCAGAGAAGTACAGTTCATATATAGCTAGTGAGAAAACCAAACTGATTCCATTTTGTACCCTTGCCTACATTTTGTACAGCTGCTGGAATTGTCTTGTTTTCCTGAGTTAAGTTTAGTTTTACTATAACTGTTTTGTAGGATGTAGGTAGATGCAACCAATCAGAGTTCTCAAACTCTGGAAAATCCCTAAATTTAAAAAGAATAACTGTACTTTATTATAAAAACCTTTGTAATTTCTCTCTTCAGGGTCCTTGTGCCTACTGAGAAGGCCCTGGACCTGATTTGTTTTGTATTGCATGCCTTGCCAATAAATCACATTGCTTGGACTTTGTTTCCTCAGTTTCCCTCAATTCAGTCTTGACAATTGGCAACCATAAAGGGATAGAGAGAGGACCTTTGCCCCCCTGGGGTGGCCTCTATAGAGAGCTCCCCCTGACTTTCTCACCGAAGGATTTCTCCACATAGGACTATCCCTGAGGTCTGACTCCCTTTTAATCTCAACTCTTCCCAGCTAACGTAAGCCTGCACACTGTTAGGGAAGGATATCCCCTGGAAGATTTCCCTAAGGAATAATAGAATTCCAGTATTAGTATACCAAGGGCAAGCCAAAGTATTCCTCCACGTTGCTGAGGAAGATTCCCCATTAGGGAATAATGGGTGCTGGTAGTAGTATACCATAGGATTCCTCCCTGGAGAAATTTCTTATGACTTGGGACCAGGGGAAGCTCCTGGATGAAGCCAGGAATGACTAAGAAGCACACAATTAGGTTATGTGAAATTTGGTCTAAAGCTGTGAGAGATTCAGCTGATAATTTGTTTTGGCCTTGAGGAAATTAATTTTGATCCCATATTTTATATTTGATTTTATACTGTAGTAATTCTGTTAAATCTTAAGCTTCTTTGCTGAGGTTTGGGTGGAGAAACAGTGTGCTAAAGTTCAAAGCTCCCCCTCTCTGATGTTATATGTCAAGGACACAATAGCACTAGTTAAAGAAAAACTCTGTTCTCAATACTCTTATAAAAAGTGTCTCAGCATTTCCTGCAAGGTTTGTGGGGTATTCCTGAGAACCTAGGGCAAATTGACCAGGACAATATGATCTTGTCCCATCTTTAATAGTTAAGGTGGCCTTTCTTTGATGAAGTCAATAATGATCTTTTGCCTCTGTGATGCTGGCCAGTTAGGTGGTTTCTGTTCTGTTCTTTCTTCTATGCTTATAAAAAATGTATTGCACCTTTAATTTGGAGTTCTCTTGAATAGAGGCAGTGCCATTAGACCTGTCCTTTATTATCAGGTTGTATGCCCCTTATAATAAATTATATCTAGCTCAGAGATCTGCCTTGGTTTATCCTTTCTGGTAAATTCTATAGAAACAGTCTCAGTTTGGTGCCTTTGAAATACTGTAAATTAAAGATGAGGAAGGACCACCAACTCCAGCATGAGCCACAGGGAACTATTTGTGTGTGTTGTTGTATTGTCTGTGTTTATGTCTTGATATAGTAAACTAACTTTTTCCTGTGGACTAATCAAAGGAAAAAGAGTATAAAGAGTGAAAACTTTTCTGCAGAAAGGCTCTCTTCTCTGAATTCCTAACTCTGGCTAAGTTAGGAACACAGAAAAGAAAACACAGATAAGAGGAAAGGGAATCTTTGTTCCCAGTCTGCAGAAATAAATGGCATTGTAAACTAATTAGAAGCTAAATTGGCTGAAATATAAATTCTATAGTGAGAATTTCCAAATTGTGGTTTGAATGTTTATATAAATGCTGAAAAGTCTTAGTGAGTTTTGGGGTATCACTCTAGAGGATTTGTTTTTAGGAAAAATAAGAAAAAAATTTGTGAAAGTTACATGAAAACAGCACTTAGACCCTTTATCACTTTTTCTCCTGGACAGATTTATTGTTTTAGTGCAAAGGAGGAAGGTTATTTCACTGACTAAAGGGGAAAAGGGGAACTGAAGTTAGTTTGAAAGTAGTATTAAGGGGCAGCTAGGTGGCACAGTGGATAGACCACCAGCCCTGAAATCAGTTCAAATCTGGCCTCAGACCAAACACTTGACATGAACTAGCTGTGAGACTTTGGGCAAGTCACTTAACCTCAATTGCCTAAAAATAAGAATAGAAAAAAAAAAAGAAAGTATCAATGAAGTTACAGAGTGAAGAAAAAAATGGATTTGTAGTTTTGAATTTATCTGGTACTTAAGAACTGCCTTTTATTTAATAACTCTTCTCTTGACCATGACAAGAAAAGAACTTGTTTAAATAAGTGAGCAACTTGAAAAGTAAGTAAAATTTGGGGCAGCTAGATAGTACAGTGGGTAGAGTACTGGCTCTAGAGTCAAGAGGAACTGAGTTCAAATCCAGCCTCAGACACTTGCTATTTACTAGCTGTGTGACCCTGGGCAAGTCACTTAATCTCTGATTGACTCACCAAAAAAAAAAAAAACCCACAACAGCAACAACAACAAAAAAGATTGGACATTAGGGGCAGCTAGGTGGTGCAGTGGATAGAATACCAGCCCTGGAGTCATTTGGACTAAAATGTAATTGGGAAATATTTAATAAAGCTTGAAGTATATGTCTAGTCCTTGCTCAATTTCCTTATCTGTAAAATGAAGGAATCAGGCTAAATGATCTCAAAGGTCTCTTCTACTCTAACTCCTATCATTGATGATAACAATCAGGAAAAATTAGAGGAAAGACTAAGGTCAGGGAGAATCAGCTTTGCGGGCATGAGAAAGAGAGAGATTATGGGAATGACTATGGAAATGAGAAAAATAAAGAGTAAGCCACAATTATCACCAGCATTACTCTTTTTCTCTTACCTATCATTTTGGCCCTTACTGCTGCTTTGGTTTAAAGAAACCCAGTCTGCTGTTCTCTTTCTGCTCCAATACTGTGGCAAAGAAACATGTAGAGCCCCTACCAAGTTTTGTAAATTACATTTTTGTTGACAGAACTTTTAAATAATAGATTTTATTGATATCTTTTCTCTTTATATTGTTTCTGTGTGTCTTCCCTTCCCTGTTCCCAGAAAGCCATCCCTTATAACAAATAATTTTTTTAAAGTAGAAAAGAAAATAACATTCAGCAAAACCAAACACCACATCAAAAATAATCTGATGTTATATGCAATGTTCCACACCCGTGGGTCTCCGCCTCTAGAAAGGAGTTGATCAATAATCAGAATTATAATAGCTAGCATTTATATAGCACTTAGTATCTGCCAGACACTGTGCTAAGCACTTATATAACATGATACATTCTATAATGCAATATATTATAATATTATATGCTATATAATATTATAATATAGCATATATGCTATGATAATAGTATACATACTATATAATATAGTATAATATAATAATATAGCATACATACTATATACTATATAATATTATACTATATTATATATTATATGAGGGAGTTGAGTGAACCGTACTGACTTCAGCTTGTGACTCAATTCTGGGTCTAGCTCAGTTTCCTTTTTATTCAGTTATGGGTTTAGTTCAATTTCTGTCTTGTGATAAAATTCTATTCAATTATGGGAATTGTGAGAAGGCTTTATTGCATTGTTTGAACCTAACCCTGAGTGGCTGGAAAGGTAGAAACCTGTTGCTTAGAGACCCTTAATTGACGACCTAGGTTATGCTGACCAGAAATCCAATCGAATCCAAGGAGTTTTCTCACAATTATACATTTCAAGCAGCCTATATGTCTTATCTGAAAACTAGCTCTGTACTGGTCACTCAGTTACTGTTTCTTTCTTTGATTGAATACAGACACTTGGGGGGAATAGGATACCTCTTTTTCTGATTTCCAGGAAATGTACGAGTTTGCTCTCCCCCATCAACTTGGAAAGCCCCTAATCTTTTTTCCAATTAGAAATCAGATTACCTAATTATACATCCTGTTTTGTATCCTGCTTATTGTTATCTTTTAATGTGTAAACATCTATTCTCCCTTGTACTTGTGGTCCAATGCCATAGGTTAAGGGGCTTGGTCCCTATTTGTTAGGCAATTAGCATGTATTGCTTAATAAATCAGTATGCTCAGAAGCTCAAACCTTTGTTTCCTCAGTGATTTCATCTTTCACCTGCCATATATATGACATAATTTTATACTAGCTGACATTTATATAGCAGTTAAAAGGGTTTTTGGGGTTTTTTGGGGTTTTTTTTTCAAATTTTATTCATTTATTTTGATTTATCAACAATCACTTCAATATGCTTTTGAGTTGAAAATTTTTTCTCCCCCTTCCTCCCCACCACCCTCCCCAAGACAGTGCACGATCTGATATAGGCTTTACATTTATATACCCATTAAACATATTTTCACATTAGTGAAATTGTAAGTAAAAATTAAAACCAATAGGAGGAACCATCAGAAAGATGAAACAAAACTCAACAGAAGGTAAAAATAAGTGATAGCGATTCGACTTCCATAGTTCTTTCTTTGGATGTGGACAGCATTTTCCATCCTGAGGCCTCTGGAGATGTCTTAGATCCTCGTAAATGCTGAGAAGGGTTCAATTTAACAATATTAGTCATTGCATAACGTGGCTGTTATCGTGTACAAAGTCCTCTTGGTTCTGCTCACTTCACTCAGCACAGCAGTTAAAAGTTTATGTGTTACAGATATCTAATTTGATTCTCGCAACAACCCTGAGAGGTAGGGGCTCTTATTCTCATTTTATAGTTGAGGAAATAGAGGCAAACAGAGGTTAAATGACTCGCCCAGGAACACACAGCTAGTAAGTGTCTAGCACCAAATCTGAACTCAGATCTTCCTGACTTCAGGGTCAGAAGTCTATCTACAGTGCCAGGGAAGACAATTCATATCTATCTATCTATCTATCTATCTATCTATCTATCTATCTATCTATACATATTGATGCTCTTTTTTTGCAAAAAATCACTATGATTTCCTAATGACTCTCCCTCTACGTTCCACATCTCCAACAGAATAGTAGTCTCTTACAACAAATTACAACTAAGTAAAACAAATCTGGGGCAGCTAGATGGTTCATAGGATAGAGAGTTGGGCCTGAGCTCAGGAAGACTTGAATTCAAATCCAGCCTCAGACACTAACAAGCTGTGTGACCCTGGGCAAGTGATTTAACCTGTGTTTGCCTTAATCCACTGAAGAAGAAAATGGCAAACCACTCCATTCTCTTTGCCAAGAAAACCCCATGAACAATATTGGCATGATATGGTCCGTGGGGGTCACAAAGAGTTGGGCACAACTGAACAAAGACAACAAAACAAATCTATACATTGACCAAGTCTGACCCAAGTCGATGCCCAATTCCACACCCATCATTCCCCACTTTCTGCCTACTCATTATATGTTTGCTGATACCATGATGATTCAGTGCGTTGGTCATAGTTCTGGAGTCTCTCTGTGTGGCTCTCATTCATGTTATAGTATAAACTGTTCCCATTATGTGCATTGCTCTGTGTCAATTCATACAAATATTCCCAAGGTGACCCAAATTCTTCATATCGCCAATTCTCTTTATTTCTTAAACAGGCTCCTTGGTGTCTCTGCCCCAGCCCTGGCCCCTCACAACTGACCTGGCTTCATTCAGAAGCATTTGCCCTGGAGCAGCATGCATAGCTCTACGAGCTTGGACCCTGCTGCCTCCCACTCACAGGACAAGCATACCTTTACTCGACTAGGATGGGGAATGGCGCTTTGCTGTTTTAAGTCAGGGAGCAAGTTACAGTGTGACTCATTCTCAGGTGTGCCACCTGTTTCCCCCAACAGTTTCCAGCACTGTGCCCGCCTGAAGAAACAATATCTCAAACAGGCATCTGCAGAGCTACCATTCTCCCAAGAAGTATTGCGGCAGTGGGGGCTGCCCTGTATACCCTATTCCCAATATAACTTTGACCACATCTACAACACAGAAAACATCTCTTTGTCCAAGAACAGAGAATTCCAAGCTCAGAAGGCGCCCAAACTCAAGCCGCTGTTTTCTTCATCTATAATGGACCTGCCGTTCTTACCAGCCCTCCAACCAATAACTAAAAGTGTTAAGACCCCAGAGAAATGCAAACTGAGGAGGCCTAAGAAAGAAATCTCACCTAGTAACTCCTTGGCTAGATCTTCCTCCAGTCCTGTTTCTGAGATTATGGACTCCCAATCAACGATTCTGTCAAACCCTTCTGAGTGGAAACTAGAAAAAAGGGAAACGTGGCTTAGACCAGCAGAGAGGGAGGCCAGAAGTTGGGAGAATATTGTGCTCAAAAAATTGAACAAGCGTACAGCTCGATGGATTTTAAACAAGAGACCTCCACAGCCTGGAGTCCCTCCCAGCAAGTGGCAGAGTTTCTTGAGACATCAGTATGACTGGAGCCATATCCGGGATGAGCTTTCCTCTGCCAGTGACCTGGACTTATTGGCCCAGCTTGAGGCTGAAGAGACGGCAGAATTTGAGGGTGTAGAGACTGTTGCTCCAATCCAAGAGGAAAAGAAACCAGAGTTACTGCTCCCTGTTTACTTCAGGTATTCTGGCTCAGGCCTTAGAGGCTATATTTGGTAGTTTTTAATCTCTCTTCTGTAAGGGCAGGGTTAAAACCGTGCCATTTTTAGCTCTGATACTTTAACTAGATAAAGACTGGAACATCAGGTTAGCTGCAGCAGAAGCTGCTTTTGCAACATCTGAGTAATGGGTCACAAGATAGGAAAGACATAATGGAACCAAATTATGGAAGGCCCTGAATGACAGGTTTTGATTGAATCATACAATCAGACCCGAGTGTATATAGGGCCAGTACAACTACTTAAATCAATCAAAGCCATTGTGTGGAAGACTACCACTTCATTTAGTTTGCCTGAGGGAGTGATTTTTGTTCCAAAGCTTTCTGTGTAAGGTTGATATAATGTTACTATGATTTCCCCAAGCCTCATGCAACAAATGTATGGCATTTACCACTGAAAGAAACCAGCTTCTCTTGGGGATTACACCTTTCAGTAAATCCTGATGTCAACAAGCCCCATTCACTGGCAGGAGTCCCCAGAATTAGCACGGGGCTGTAGGAACATAGGTTTAAGATAGATGACCTCAGAGGTCATCAAATGCAACACCCTCATCTTACAGAGGAGGAAATGAAGGACCAGAAAGGTTAAATTGTTGTTTGTTGTCGTTGTTGAGTTGTGTCCAATTCTTCATGACCCCTTTTTTCAGGTATTCTTTGCAGAGATAGTTGGAATGGTTTGTCATTTCCTTCTCCAGCTCGTTTTACAGATGAGGAAACTGAGACAGACAGGGTGAAGTGACTCACCCAGGGTCACACAGCTAGTAAGTGTCTAAGGCCAGATTTGAACTCAGGAAGATGAGTCTACCTGACTCTAAGCCCACTGTGCTATCTAGCTAACCTTGAGGTCAAATTACTTAATAATAATAGCTAGCATTTATCTAGCACTCTCAAGGTTTGCAAAGAGCTGTACACATCTCATCTCCATTGATACCTGCCAAGTGTCATACGGCTAGTAAGCTAATGAGGTGGGCTTCAAACTCAGGTTTTACTGACTCCAAGTTCAGTGTTCTATTCACCACATGTTAGACTGCTACTACTTTGGCCAAGCAGGTAGACTGGTACTGATTTAGCCCAACACTTTCACAAGGAAAGGGTTATAGTAACTTGTTTAACACAGTGCCTAGCACAGACTGGGCATTTAATGCTTGTTAATTTGCCTTAACCAGACTTCCTCGTATGTTAAATAGATACGGGCCCTGGAAATTGACACCTGCTGGTCAGAGCTAAGTTCCTGTAAAATGTCTCTTGTTGACTTCCAAAGGGTCTTTAATGCTCAGGCAGGCTAACCAGGGAGACTGTGATTGAGAGATGAGAATTGCTAACCTGAGGGAAAGGGAGGAGGCGTTGCTAGCCCTGAGAGAAGTTCCTCCCTCCTCTGGGTAGAGCCATACTTTCCCAACTCCAATCTGTGTCGGGATTCTCTGTAATCATCAGGGTTGACCTCCGCCTCTGCAGGGAGGAAAGGTTTCCTTAAACAAGCTAAGGCAATGGAACAAGGATGCTTCTCCAGAGCAGCATGGGAGAAAATGCCATACCAACCAACAGTGTGGATTCTCTTCCTTCACTTGGGGGAATCTATTACAGTTCATATTCACAAGACTTATTCTTTTCTCTGGAGGCAGCGCTGGTCCTGGAATCAGGAAGACTCCTCTTCCTGAGTTCAAATCTGGCCTTAGACACTTACTAGCTGTGTGACCCTGGCCAAGTCACTTAACCCTGTTTGCCTCAGTTTCCTTATTTGTAAGACGAGCTGGAGAAGGAAATGGCAGACCACTCCAATATCTTCCAAGAAAACCCCAAAAGGGGTCATGAAGAGTTGGATAAGACTGAAAATGACCAAACAGCAATCGGAGTAGAGGCCTACAGAGTGGAGAGGTGTAGATGTAGAAATGATAAGATTTGGCAGCTGACTGCTAAGTGGGGTCAGAGTCAAGATGGTTGACTAAAGGATGGTGGTACCATTGACAGAAACAGAGAAGTTAGAGAGAGTGGTAGGTTTGGGGAGGAGGCAGAGAAATAATGAATTTAATTGATCTAATTCTTTCAGAACCTTAAGATCTAGTCTGCTCTGAGAATTTTCATTTTGTCTTTGTATTCTTGAAATCTAGCACAGTTCCTGGTACATAGTAAATGCTCAATAAATAAATCCATGTTGAATTGTATTGAATCAAGGGTAGCTAGGTGCTCACTTATAATTTATGGGCTTTAGCACCCTCTTAACCATTTTTGTTCTGTTCATTCCAGGTCAAAGATAGCTTTCCCTAACAGAAATAAACCAAAACAAACTAAAAGAATGTGATGGCCCAGAAGATCGTTTGTTGTTGTTCAGTTATTTTTCAGTAGTGTCAAATGCTTAATGATGCCATTTGGGGTTTACCAGAGTGATTTGCCATTTCCTTTTCCAGCTTGTTTTATAGATGAGGAAACTGAGGCAACCAAGGTTAAGTGACTTGCCCAGAATCACACAGTTAGGAAATATCTGAGGCCAGATTTGAACTCCGATAGGTGAATCTTCCTGACTTCATGCCCAGCACTCTTATCGACTAGACCACCTAGCTGCCCTTCAGAAGATGGTAGCAGGGAATTTAAAAACTCATGGCTCTGAGTTCTAATCCTGGGAAGCCTATATTATACTAATCTGAAAGGTAACTAGTAAAAGGATATAAAACTAAGAATTGCAGGCTGTCCAGTGATGGAATTTGGAGAACATTGCTGGGTAAAACAGAGTAGCAATATTTTCCAGACATTTCCCAAATACCAGTCATCTGTAATGGGTAGAAGAGAAGGGCTGTCTGAAGTCATCCAGGCAAAACTTAGAAAGTAAGTAGTATCGATCCAATCAATAAACATTTACTAGGCACCTACTGTGTGCCAAGTACTGGGCTAAGTGTGAGAGATATCAAAAGAGGCAACAGATACTCTCTACCCTCTAGGAGTTTGTGATCTAATGAAATTTGGAAAAGGTCATTTGTTTGGAGTGAGGTGTTGGTAGAGTTGGAACTGAAAGTGGGGATTTTGGATTTCCTTGCCTTGTGTTACCACAGAAAGGACACTGCCTCTAGATTCAGAAGGTTGGGTTTTAAATCCTGCCCCTTTATCAGAGCTGAGTTGGAGTCAACTCAAAATGGAGCCAAGCCATTTCAACAAACACTACAGATCAGGGCTTGGGTTGTTGCGTCATTGATTGTGTAGACTTAAAGGAGAGGGGAGAGGGAGAAGGAAGTATTTATGAAGAATCTGCTATGTACCATGATGGGCAAGCTGGTGGTACGGTGAATAGAGTGCAGGGCCTGAAGTCAGAAAAACCTGAGTTCAAATCTGGCCTCAGATACTTTCTAGCTGTGTGACTCTGGGCAAGTCACTTAACTCTGTTTGCCTCAGTTTCCTCATCTGAAAAATGAGCTGGAGAAGGATATGACAAACCACTCCAGGATCTTTGCCAAGAAAACCCTAAATGGGGTCACGAAGGGTCAGACACGACTGAAACAACTGACCAGCAACAAATGTACCAGGCCCTGTGCTAAGTGACACAGATAATAATGCATATTAAACTTCAAAGTGTTTCAGGCAAGCAAAATTGTTTTTTTCTTTTTGGAGCGCCGGATGTTAAACACTTACCAGAATGCCACTGCTCTAATGCTTACTATCTGTGTGACCTTGGGTAAATCACTTGTTTTCTCTGGCCTCAGCTTCCTCAACTGTAAAATTGAGGATTTGGAGTAGAGCAGGGGTGGGGAACCTGCAGCCTTGAGGCTAGGTCCTTGGGTGCAACCTTTTGACTGAGTCCAAGTTTTATGGAACAAATCCTTTTAGTAAGAGGATTTGTTCTGTGAAGTTTTGGTTCGGTCAAAGAGCCGCACTCGAGGACCTGGAGGGCCACACATGGCCTTGAGGCCGAAGGTTCCCCACCCCTGGACTAGAGGGCTCTGATGTCCCTTCTAGGTCTGTGGCCTTATCATCCCAAATGATCTATGATAGAAATATTGGGACACCAGCCGCTTAGGTGGGTCGTACTTTACCAGTGATAAGACTAATTGCTAATAATAAATAGCACAGGACTCACTTAGTAAGGAAAATGAAACATGTAGAGCAATACTAATAATAGCTGGAATTTATTGAGTGCTTTAATGTTTGCAAAGTACTACAAACATTATATCATTTTATCTTTACACAAGTCCTGAGAGGTAGTGCTATTGTTATTTCCATTTTACAGAGGAGGTAACTGAGGCAGACAGAAGTTAAGTGACTTGCCCAGGGTCACAATCGCTAGTAAGTATCTGAGGCTAGATTTTTTTTCAAGGTTAATTATATTTTTTAATTGTAATTTTCTTACAATATGAAAAGAACTACCAGAGAAAGAGGCACATAAGGAGGCTTCTACACTGACAACTCCATAGGTAAACTATCAAAGCACAGGACTCACTATTTCATTGTATTTGTTTGTTCTTTAATTAACAAAAATTTATTGAGTGACTATGATGCGCAAGGCATTGTAGGAAACACAAAGATGACAACCAGATAGTTGTAGATATCTTCACACTAGGTGGCATCATGTGCAAACATTTATTTAAACTATTAACACACTACGAAGCATACATAAACACAAATAATTACAATAGACACACATTATAAAAAGGGACATTATTGCTTAAGTTTCACAAAACAAATATAATTTAGCTTATAAAGAATGTGGTATTATCATTCTACCACATCAGCATTATTTAATTTTTTACAGTGAACACATACAATAGCTACACTCCTGAAATAGAATCACTTTACATACACTCCAGATCACTAAAGAAACCCTTTTGTAAATCACATTATTATAATGTAAAATGCTACTTTCTAATCTTATCTGTCCTAAATTCAGATACTCACTTTTTAGAAGAGTTTTGAGAAAATGAGATGTAATCTGAAATCTCTTTAAAGACAAGAAAACATCACACCAAAATATATATAATGTATATATATATGTATATATATATATGTGTGTGTGTGTGTATATATATATATATATATATATATATATAAATTCAACTGAGTCACAACATTTAGATTAAGTCTCTCTCTTTTAAATATTATGCTATTAATCCATTCCTCCTGTTAGGGAAATTTTTTACCTCAGCTCATCAGACACAGTCTCTACTTCACAACAATATTGTAAAAAGCACCCCAAAAAAATGGCACCATAGTTATGATAAATTTGGGGGCTCCTGGTTCCCACAGCTGTGACTACACTTACATAGTATTCAAAGCTTCTAGTAAAATAATCACGTTCAATAATCCAAAATTGCTACATAATAGCAGTATGTCTATACACTATCCTTATACATTCAACCATGTAGTATCATATCCTGTTCTTCCAATACAGAAACATACACACAAACATATACACACAAACTTTCAAGGAATTATGACTATAGTATATGAGCACCGCGTACTTTAAGAAAATCAAATTAACTAATACCAAGGCAGAATTGTACATTGATCTGCTACTAAAAAGCTGAGGCTAGATTTGACCTCAGGTCTTCTTGACTGTAGGTCTACCACTCTATCCACTGAGTAGCCTAACAAACTGGGTGGCAGGGCTCACAGTACAATCCACTCCCCCATAAATGTCCGTAGCTCCAATTTCACGTTTGCAAAGGGGAATGATCTTCTGTTAGCCTAGACAAGTAAGAATTCCTGGTAATGGTCAGTGGTTGCCTTCCTCTTCCTCTCACACCCAGACAGGGAGCCTGTTTCTCTGCCCGTCTTCTCCCTTCAACATACTTATTCCTCCTCCATTCCTTCCCTCTGCCAAGAATTCCTGCTTACTTACCACTGAAGAAGAAACCCGAGATGATGGTTGGCACCAATAAGACAGCTGCAGATATACTTGCCAAACGGAGCCTCTTCCGGGCCCGACCTTCACAGCCAAGGCAACAGATAAATCCCAGAGCTGGGAAGTATGTTTATGCCACAGAAAATGCCTTTGAACGGGAGATTTACTTTGGTAAGAGAGACAGGCTCTTAATGCTGGGGCGAGGCAGGCAAAGGGTAGAGGGATTTGGGGGCCAGAAGTGCTAGTTTGTCTCTGATATGACCATGAGAATGATTCAGAGGCCTTGGATGACTCAGATTGTAAGGATTCTATTCCCATGCTGATGGGACCAGAAATAACTGGGGAGCAATTTTTTTTCAGGCAATCGGGGTTAAGTGACTTGCCTAGGGTCACACAGCTATTAAGTGTCAAGTGTTTGGTCTGAGGCCGGATCTGAATTCAGGTCCTCCTGACTTCAGGGCAGGTGCTCTATCTACTGCACCACCTAGCTGCCCCAATTTTTTTGTTCATTACGTCTCCTTGCCCATCCCACTTCCTCATATGAATGCTAACGCTGGCTGAAACTGTAGAATCAAAATATTTTGTCTTTGATGTTCTTCTTCTTCCCCTTTCAATGTCCTTCTTTTATCTTATGAGGCTTCTGGCCCTTGCCTACAAAGTCTTCATGCTACTCCTTAACTGCCCTGGGATACCACTATGGTACCCTATCTAGGCCTGCTCTCTTTGGCCATGCTATCTACTTCTCTCTCCACCTCCTGCCTTCCCCTAACCCCCCATTAAAATTTGCTTTCGAAGAGCTGTTCTCGAAAAGGTGTATCTTTAAAACATCTGGCAATCATGAGCCCAAAAGACTATCCCTTGCTCAGGACATTTGAATATTAACCCAGAGCTGTACTCATTGGTAAAACAGGTCCTGTCCTTATATGCTAATTCTCACTAGGAATTAGACCTCCACATTCTCATGATTTTTGTTACCATTTTCAGTCCCAATTCTTCCTATAGCTGTATCATCCCCAACTATAGATGTCTTCAAAGGGTCTTCTCAAGTCCTTAGAGCAGCCAGAAACTAGGCATGATCACTGAGCCTAGAAAATTGGAGGAGTAGAGGGAGGGTGGACTTGGGGGAGTGAATGAAAGCAGGTCCTGCTATGACTGGCCGTTTTTATGCCCACTTAGACTTAGTCCAGATCATCCATCGGGATGACGTGGAGTATGACAAGATCCTTTTGGAAAACCTCAACCAATACTGTAAACATTTGCCAAAGGCTTTCCCAGAAGGTCCAGAAGAGTGGAATTATAACCCACGTCCTCTAGGAGGTAAGGAGGAAGCCATTTAAGGGTGGTTATGATAGAAACAATACTTCTGGTGATATGAGTGGTTTAACTTAAGTCACTGGGTCATTGGCCAGGGCACCCAAGGGTAGTTAACCTGATTCCTTCCCACCAATACTAAATCATCCTCTTTATTAATATACTCTATGAAAGTTTTAAAAATCTCAGCAGTTACAATGTACTTAGTTGGTATAAACCTGGCATAATATCTATAAACCAGATTATAAAACCAATTATAGAAGAAGAGGCAGAACGCATGTTAGGTAAAATGTCTTTTGGAAAGTTGCCATATTAGCCTCATATTGTGGTCTTCTCCTTTGGGCTGGTCCCCTTTCAGTTTTCACTCTCGGTGATTCTGCAAGACAGACAAATCTATCTAGGGAGGAGCCTGAGGTTGCTAAGAGATAAATCAGGGTGCAACGAGTGCCCCACTCAAAAACAGTTACATCCGTTCGATAAAATGGACTATCTCTCAAAAGGATGCACCGTCCCTGATTTATGGTTTATTTTGTAACCTATGATCCAGTGCCCTAAACTCTTGGCTTACGTGGACCCACAACAATTTGGGGAGTAAACAGCATCAACGCTTCCTTCCCTAACCACTGTCTTTGTTCTGTTTTGCCAGAGTTCTTTCAGAGAAATCTCAGAATATAGTAGTAAGTAGCATAGCTTAGGTCTAGATCTCCACAAGATACCATAGGTCAAAGATCAATAAAATGATGTGAAGTAGAGTGAAGAAAGGAAAGACCCAAAGACAATAATATACATGTTTGTTACAACTTTGGAGTTAAAAGGCAACAATAACATCACATCCATGTTATGTACCCAGAAAAAAAGAATCATGAAAACAAGGATAATGTGGGTATATTTATGTTGAAGTCAATGTGCATATCTCTTGGGGTGGGGGTCAATACTTGGTAAATAATGGAAATTCATAGAGCTGTGTACAATCTCCTGGGTTTGTTTCATTTTGCTTATTTATTTTTCTTATTTTTTCTTATGCATTTGTTTATGTATTTTAATACCTGTAGTTGTTAACAGAAGTTTTAAAAATTATTTATTTTTAAAAAGTTGCTTAGTAGATAGAAGATTTTCCACCATATTGCCAGTAGTATTTTTCTTATTTCTCCAGCCATGATGAGGCATTGGAGATGAGCCTGAGCTCTCACAGGTATGCCAGCATAGCACAAGGTCTGACTTATTCTCCCAATCTGGAAAGGCTTTTATAAGGAGCCCAGGAATAGATGGCATTTCTGTCATCCAAGGACCAGCCTTTGTAGATCCAGTTCAGAGTGGCTCATCGCCAAGTTGGCCACAAGGTGACAAATGTTTCAACCACAACAACTGCTGAAGAGGACCCACCAAATTTGCAGTTTGCATCCATGGAAGTCATAGATTATTGAAGTGTTGAAGAAATATTAGAGTAAATTTCTTACTCAGAAGATAGAACATAAAAGACAAGCATGATGTGGACTACTTGTGTGACCTTTAGCAAGTCTGACTCAGCCTCTCTTTGCCTTGGTTCTCTCAACTATACAAATTAAGTCAGACTAGATGGCCTGAAAGGTCTCTTTCACTCTATGTCTACAGTCATACTATCAGTCTATGACCAGAAGAAGAGGTAGGCTAGTCATATAACAAGAATGGAAGACAACAGATGGAAAACTTTATGGGACTATCCCAAGATATTTAAAAATCAATAGTAAACAATGCAGAGGAAAGCTTCCAGTGTTCTTCACAGAAGAACATGGACAAGATTCCTACAAGATGAAGTGTGAAGAACGTATCTCTGGTGATGTACCATGTATACACACTCACGGGCTGAGTTCCTATGGATGCTACCTTGAATTCCAGGAAGTAACCCTTACATCTGTACTCCACACAAGGCATCAGAAGTCTGTTTTCCATTAATAACTAGGCAGTAAAAGTGATTAACTTACGGCAAAAGTGTTTACTAAGATGGTAAAGTGTGAAGAGCGGGTACAAAAACTTTTCCCCATGAAACCTAAAAAACCACCCCCACTAACAACAACAATATCTAGCATTTATGTAGTGGCTACTATGTCCTAGGCGCTGTAATAAGCACTTTCAAATATTATCTCGTTTGATTCTCACAAAAATCCTTGGGGGGGGCAGTGTAGGTGCTCTTATTATCCCTGTTTTATAGACGATGAAATTCAGGCAAACAGATGTTAAGTGACTTGCCCAAGGTAACACAGCTAGTAGGTTTCTGAGGCCAGATTTGAATTCAGTTCTTCTTGACTCCAGGCCTACCGCTCTATCCATTGAGCCATCAAGCTGCAAGTGTACTCTCCCACAAATGTACATGGAATCCATAGAAATTAGGATCAAAGTGCTAGAGGGCCACACATGTAGGATATAGGAGTGACAGAGGCAACTTACAGCTCCTGGTACTGCAGAGCCTATAGGTGCAGTTTCTCTTTATACAGTCCTTACACATTTCCCCTTGGGTACAATGTCTCTGCTGGCCAGGCTGCTCAGCTGGGCTCCCTTGGTGGTCTTCTTTCCTTAGCTTGACTCAGTTTCCAGAGGTGTCACTTTTTGAGACTATTCCCTTCTTTGGATGGCTATATCTCTTTATCTGTGTCTGTCTGGGGTGTATGTCTTTGTTCCTTGATAAGTTCAGTGTCTCCTAATGGTCAAGTAGCTCCCTTTCAAAGCTACGTGACTGATGGAAAGTTCTTGTAGTGGTCATCTCCACAGGCAGCTCCCAGCTTACGATCTGTTCTGCTCTAGAGCTCTAAATGGATGATCTTCCATTTTCCTGACCTATTGGGAGTGGGGGTGGAGAAAGAGAGAGAGAGAGAGAAATCCTGTGACTTTCTTCTCTATAGTTTTATTCCACAATTGCTCTGTACTCTTTCTCAGACAACTGAATTGTTCCCTTCTTGACTCAGAGAATCAAATGAAGTTGTGGGGTGGGGTGGGGAAGAGGGGAAGCTCTCTTATTTACAATGAGATTGCAGATCCCTCTAAAGTAAGAGGGATTTTTTAAAGTTGTCTTTCTTTCTTTCTTTCTTTCTTTCTTTCTTTCTTTCTTTCTTTCTTTCTTTCTTTCTTTCTTTCTTTCTTTCTTTCTTTCTTTCTTTCTTTCTTTCTTTCTTTCTTTCTTTCTTTCTTCCTTTCTTCCTTTCTTCCTTTCTTCCTTTCTTCCTTCATTCCTTTCTCCCTCTTCATCTTTCTTTCTACCCTGTAGTAACATATATAACATACATATATATGTGTGTGTGTATTTTTTTTTCCATCAATTTAACCACACATCAGAATCTGACCCTGCAGTAGAGTAACTATGGAGATGCAGAAGCTTCTACAGGATTCCACAGGCCACTGAGGTGATGAATGAATGGGGGGTGGAGTGGGATAGTCATTGAGAAAGGCCAAAACAGATTTGGGGAAAATATAAGAGAAGGAAGGCCAGGTCAAAAGTATGAGATTCATCTTGTCATCATGCAAGGCCGGCAGAGTTAGATACCTATGCCCCTCTTTCTTCTTTACAAAGACTCTAATAGCTGACATTCACAGCTTCTGTGGTAGACTTAAGCAGGGGATAGGGCTGAAGCCATCTTGGCAGATTATAAAGGATTGAGTTATGATTGGTGAGATCTTTTTCCTTGCCCTCTTTCCAAGTTGAGAAGGATACAACTTGAATAACAGAATAACTCCTCCCAAATGCCCTTGCTTTCCTCCCCATGAAGGGAGAGAAAGAGACTGAACTGGGCAAAGCTCTCCAGTTTCTATAGCCAGAACACTTAACACTAGCTGCTGTCTTTTCCAGAGAACAGAATTGGCCGGCCCTTTGTGCTCCCCTTTCCTCTGTCTGGTCTACTCTTGTTATTGTTTGTCCTAAAGCTATATATAAAATATTTTAGTGATTGATGATCCAACTTGGTGTTTTGAGGTTTATTTTTAGACAATGAAGGTCTGGGGAAAAAGGCAATATAGATAATGTAGTTGATTCACCCATCCCCTAGTACAAGAGCACTTAGCTGGGGTCCATGGCTATACAGGGGTCCAAGTGCTTGCGTGGATAAATTACATATTTATTTCAATATATTTGGTTTCCTTCATAATTCTATATATTTTATTATTTTCATTTAAAAGCATTATTCTGGGGGGTTTTTTGCTTTTTTTTTTTTGTGAGACAATAGGGCTTAAGCGACTTGCCCAGGGTCACACAGCTAGTAAGTGTTGTGTGTCTGAGGTCAGATTCAAACTCAAGTCCTCCTGACTTCAGGGCCAGTGCTGTATCCACTGTGCCACCTAGCTGCCCCCTAAAAGCATTATTCTGAGAAGGGTATTCACCAGACTTCCAAAAGTTTCCATGATATAAAAAGATTAAGAATCCCTGCCCTACTGTTAAAAGGAGCCTACATAGACAGAGGGCATGAGTGTTGAATGATTATGTTGGAATGATTTGCAAAAAAAAAAAATGAAGAGGTGGGAAAGGATGCATTGGGAGAAGGGGGAAGGGAGAGGTAGAATGCGGTAATTGTTTTCACATAAAAGAAGCATATAAGGAAGAACTTTCACAGTGGAGAGGGAAACGGGGAGGTGGGTAGTGCTTAAACCTCACTTTCATTGGAATTGGTTCAAAGAAGGAAGAATATCTATTATATATATTATATGTACACATTCAGTTATGTATAGAAATATAACTTACCCAATAGGGACATAGAAGGGGAAGGAGATAAGAGAAAGTGAGGGATGATGATAAAAAGGAGAGCAGATTAAGGGAAGCAGTGGTTAGAAGCAAAATAGACTTTTGAGGCAGGACAGGATAAAAAGGGAGAGAGAAGAAGAAACAGAAGAAAATAGGATGGAGAGAAATACACAGTAATCATAGCTGTGAGTATGAATGGGATGAGCTCACTCTTAAAACAGAGGCAGATAGCAGAATTGATTAGAAAGCAGAATCCAACACTATGTTTACAAGAGACACACTTGAATCAGAAAGACACAGAGTTAAGGGTCCAGCTGAAGTATAAAAGGCAGGGGTAACAATCATGATCTGAGACAATGCAAAAGCAAAAACAGACCTAATTAAAACAGATTATCAGGGAAACTACATTATGCTAAAAGGTATCATAGAGAATGAAGTAGTACCAAATTTTTTTTACAGTACGTTTCACTGAAAAAGGCCTCATTTCTCAAATATATGGAGCTAAGTAAAATTTTAAAAAAAAAGTCATTCCCTAATTGTTAAGTGGTAAAAGGATATGAACAGGCAGTTTTCAGAGGAAATCAAAGCTATCTATAGTCGTATGGAAAATGCTCCAAAGAGGATTGATTAGAAAAATACAAATGAAAACAATTCTGAGATACTACTTCCTATCTATCAGAATTGACAAATGCTATAGAGGATGAGGGGAAATAGGTATGCTAATAAATTGTTAGAGGTGTGAACTGGTTTGACCATTCTTGAGAACAGTTTGGAACCATGCCCAAAGGGCTATAAAACTATGCATACCCTTTAATCCAGCAATACTACTATTGGCTCTGTTTCCCAAAGACATTAAAGAAAAAAGAAAAGGACCTATATGTACAAGAATATTTATAGCAGCTCTTTTTGTGGTGGCAAAGAATTGGAAATTGAAGGGATGTCCATTAATTGAGGAATAGCTGAACAAATTGTGGCATGATTGTGATAAAATAGTATTATTCAATAAGAAATTACAAAGAAGATGTTTTCAGAAAAAAAAAACAACATAGCAAGACCTATATGAACTGATGCAGAATGAAGTAAGACAAACCAGGAGATCATTGTGTGCGGCAATGGCATATTGTAATGATGATCAACTATGAAAGACTTGGTCACTGTGATCAGTACAATGATTCAAGACAATTCTAAAGGACTCATGATGAAAAAAGGCTATCCATCTCCAGTGAGAGAATTGATGAACTCAGTGCAAATTGAAGTATAATTTTATTGCTTTCTTAATATATTTTTTTTACTTTTTATGCAACATAGCTAATATGGAAATGTGTTTTGCATGATTTCACATGTATAATTGATATAATTTTGCTTGCCTTCTCACTGGATGGTAGGGAGTGGGAGGGAAAGAGAGAAAGGGAACTCAAAATATGAAAAGAAAAGAATGCTTAAAATAAATAAATAATTAAAAGAAGAAGAAAAATAAATACAGCACCCATTCCTATTAAAAACACTAGAAAGGAGACAGAGACAGAGAGAGAATCCCCTACCTTAATGTGAAGCAGAAGGGAGGGAAGGGCCTGAGCCATCCATGGTTCTCCCCAGAAAATCACAAACCTGGTAATGCTATCTGTCATAGCTTCCTAAGCCAGTTGAAAGAGAAATCAAATAAATTAAAGGACAAAAAGAGATTTGTAATCTGGAATCATCATTCACCTAATGTTGTTAGCAAGCCAGAAGCCCAGGGCAGAGAGGGAAAGGAATTTCTTCTATCTCTCTCTGCCAACTGATTGCCACACATGGAATTATCTTACCACAATATTCCTGGTATAGGTAATTCCTACCTATTATATGTGGGTACTTGTAATACAAAGGATAAGTCTGGTTGCACCAAAAAAAACCAAACCCCAAATATTTGAAAAAGCAACTTCCTAGCTCCTACAAGCCACAAACTACAAATCCTGCAAATTTTACATCTCTAATCGGGATTCTTGGTTTCTACCCCTGTGAGCTATCGTTAATTTCCCATATAAGCCTATGGCTCCTCACTCACTACTTAGCGTACTGTGTGAGCAAAATGATATAATTTGTCTTGAGGTATTGCCAGGGAGGTCTCTTGGCTGCCTCTAATCAGTATTGGTGACTGCTGGGTGGTATGATTTCATTTTGGGGGCAGGAGGGGTAAAGATGAGGGGCCAGGCAGAACAAATAATCAATCACATTCCGTCTTACTGGGACAGCTCCGAGGCCCAGAAAGGGAGCATTGCGTTGGACAGCCTTGCCCACTCCAGTTAAGGACCACTTGGAATTGAGCCAAGAGACTATTCCTGTCAAGGTCAGGAGAGCAAGGAAGGATTGTGCACCAAAAATAGAGGAAAATGTGCCCTGGGAGATGCGGGTCCTCCGGAACATGCTGCAGGAATGGAAGAATGCCTGGATTCTAAGTGAGTGCCTCTGGGAAGAGAGTTCCATTTTGTATGCCGTATACTCCATGGGGTTGCTGGGGCTGGAGAGGATCCCATGAGGCAACGTACCCGGAGTGATAGATGTACTGCTTCTATGCTCTACCTTATACAAATGAACAAAATTCAGGTTTCCCCTCAGGTCTCCAGGGCAAGGACTGTGTCCAGGATGTCCCTGTATCTCTCAGAATGTAGCATAGTAATTAACAATGATACCTAACTTGGGGAGGGGGGTGGAGAAAGGGTAAGGGAGAGATCTAACTTCTGCTTAAGGACTCTCTGCTCCCTTCTAGCTCCCTGATGCCCGCCTGCTCATTTCCAGCAAGGGCATTAGCTCTGGAGTCAGAAGGATCTCAGTGATCTGGGGCAAGACGTTTAAACTCCCTGGGTCTCAAACTTCTCCTTTGTAAAAGGAGGAGGTGGATGATATGGCCTCCTTCCAGTTTTATGTCTATGATTCTGATAGATAGATAGATAGATAGATAGATAGATAGATAGATAGATAGATAGATAGATTGATAGACAGACAGGTGGATAGATAGATAAGCAAATAGGTAGATAGGTTAATTGATAGATAGATAGATAGATAGATAGATAGATAGATAGATAGATAGATAGATAGATAGATAGATAGATAGACAGACAGGTAGATAGACAGGTAGATAGATAAGCAAATAGGTAGATAGATTGATAGATAGAGAGACAGGTGGATAGATAGATAAGCAAATAGGTAGATAGGTAGATAGGTAGATAGATAGATAGATAGATAGATAGATAGATAGATAGATAGATAGACAGACAGATAGATAGAGACAGACAGATGACTTATTAAGTGCTAATTATGTGTCAGGCTGGGCCGACAGGTGGCACAGGGGATAGAGCGCTGGGCCTAAAGTCAGAAAGACTTGTCTTCCTGAGTTCAAATCTGGCCTCAGACACTTGGTAGCTGTGTGACTCTGGTTTCTTGGGGTGGTTTTTTTGGTTGGGCAGTGGGGGTTAAGTGACTTGCCCAGGGTCACACAGCTAGTAAGTGTTATGTGTCTGAGTCTGGATTTGAACTCAGGTCCTCCTGAATCCAGGGCCAGACTCTATCTACTGTACCACCTAGCTGCCACCTAGCTGTGTGACTCTGGGCAAGTTACTTAACCCTGTTTTTCATCTTTAAAATGAACCAAATGGGGCAACTAGGTGGCACAGTGGATACAGCATCAGCCCTGGAGTCAGGAGGACCTGAGTTCAAATCCAGCCTCAGATACTTGACATTTACTAACTGTGTGACCCTGGGCAAGTCACTTAACCCCATTGCCTAGAAAAACAAAACAAAAATAAATAAATAAATAAATGGAATGAACCAGAGAAGGAAATGGCAAACCACTCCAGTATCTTTGCCAAGAAAACTTCAAATGGGGTCATGAAAAGTCAGACTCAACTTAAACCACTCAACACTGCTGAGGATGCGAATAAAATTAAGCAGTGCAGTCCTTGACCCCAAGGAGCTTCTGTTATAATAAGGAGAAGATAATACATCAAGAGAAGCTGAAAAATAGGAGAAAGGAGAAAGGGTACCCACATAGGGGTAATGGCTGCAGATGAGGAGGAGGAAAAATCAAGAGAGAGAGTCAGGGAGCAAGGGGAAACCGATGTGGGTCCTTTTGAAAATTATGGTCTTGTGGAGGGAGTTACCAGTCAGAAACCAAGGGCCTGAAGAGAGGGCCTAAAGAGGCTAAAAATGAATGAAGGAATGAATGAAGGAATGAAATTAATATATGAGCTTGAGATTATCAGTCTGGCTGAGGCATACCAAATACCTGGGATTTGAAAGCAAACCATTTAGTTTAAGTCTGGTTTCTGCAGATTACTAACTGTTTTAAGTCACTTAATTTCCTCTTCTACACAAGGTGTCCCAAAAGTCTTGGTGCAGTTTTAAGCTTTAATAACCTTCCTTGGTTCATGATCAAGTTTCAATACCTTAAAACTGCACTAAGACTTTTGGGACATCCTGTATCTTGGAGAGGTCTTTTTTTGGTGGGGAAGGGGGTTCATACCACTAATTTCATTCTATGTGGTACTTCTATAACTTATAGTTTTAGAAAAGTTAAGTTACCCATAGTCACACAGTCAGTATGTTACCAAAGGCAGGATTTGAATATAGCTCACTCTTACTCCAAGGCCAGCCCTCTAGCTATAATACCTTACTGCTTCTATTCTAATGGTTCTGTACTAACTACTATAGGAATGGTTTCTTTTTCTTTTCTTTCTTTCTTTTTTTTTTTGAGGTAGTCGGAGTTAAGTGACTTGCCTAGGGTCACGCAGCTACTAAGTGTCTGAGGCCAGATTTGAACTGAGATCCCCCTGACTCCAAGTGCTCTATCCACTGCACCACCTAGCTGCCCCAGCCGGTGCCTTTTCTCAGAAACCATCAGTATAGAGGCAGTTATATGGCATAGTGCACCGGCTCTGAAGTTAGGAGGACCTGAGTTCAAATCCAGCCTCAGACCAAACACTTGACACTTACTACCTGTGTGACCCTGGGCAAGTCACTTAACCCTAGTTACCTAGAAAAAAAAAGAAAAGACACTGGCCTTGAAGCTGCCAAGAGGGCTGGGATAGATATGCAAGAAGCTGAAAACTTTGTTGATGTCGGCAAGAGTATTGGCCACTTAGGAGGCAGTAGGGTATAGTGGAAAGCCCCCTGAACTAGGGAGTCAGGAAATGTGGGTTCAGGCCCTGCTTCTATCAGGAGATAATTGGATGACTTGGGACAAATCAATTCACCTTTGGATCTCAGGTTATTCATATGTACAATTGGTGGGGGGAAAGGCTGACTGGATAATTTATAAGGTCCCTTTGAACTGAGACATTCTGTGATCCTATTATTTTTATAAGGGGAGGGGAGAGGGGAATTAAGAACCAAGGGAGGGTTGAGGCAGGGCTTAGAAAGACCAACAAAAGATGAATTGAGTCATTCATCATTTGGTCCAAAGAAACCTAAAGAAAAACGTGTTTACAAAAAAATGTGTGGAGAGGAATTCATGAAGTGGGTTGAGTAAAGGGCGCAGGTAGTTGAAATTTCAGGTATGACCTGAATTGAGGAGTGAATCGAGGAGTCAAACCAAAAGGAACTTCCATCCACAGGGTCAATGGGATCCCAAAGAGAAAGGGGGCCTAAATTGAAATGGGGTTAGGAATAATAGCTAAAAAAAAAAGTAAGAATAACTATCCAAAGTGTCAGGTTGTAAGTGGAACCAACCTATCTTGTCAATCAAACTATAGATATAGCAAAGGAATTATGCACGTTAAAGGTGGCCAAGCATTGGATTGAAATGGACATTGAATAGATCATAGGACTGAAAATTTGGAGTGGGAAGAGACTTTAGAAACCATCTAGTTCAATCCCCTTATTTTACAGATGAAAAAAATAAGGCCTAGGAAAATGAAAGTTACATAGTAAATGGCAGAGCCAAGATTTGGGAACCAGACCCACTAACTCTAAATCCAAAGTCCTTTTCACTGGACCACCAAAAAAATAAAAAGCCTTTATCACCTAGTATTCCCAAGAAGTCTCCTGTCCAGCTAGGCCCAAATCTGCTTATTTTGTTGAGATCAAAGAAGATCAGGCATTTACCCGGTGGTATGGCCACAGATATACCATAGGAGAGGAGAGAAGAGAAAGACCATGAATGCCAGGGGAAAAATTTGGAGGAGAAACAGCCCTTCCTACACATTTTCTAGATGGTGGTGATTAAGAATTCCCTATATTAGTGATGAAAGAAGTTGGTCAAGGACATCACAAGGGGATCACACTTCCCCAAAGACCTCCCCATCTCATCTCCCTCCCTAGGGACTCTTCCCCATAAAATGACTCCTCCACAGTGGAGATCTTACCTGGTTTTAAATGGTTCTTCCTTGTGAGAAAAATGACTTCTTGGTAACCCATGTGTGGCACAGTGCCCAATCATAACTGAATAATGTTCTTCTCATTTCCTCCACACCTTCCCCCACCCCCCGCCCCCATCTCCCTCTCCAATTTCAGCTACCCAATGGCCAGATGCTACAGTGGAGGGACTGCTACGGAACATGAACAACGTCCAGGATGAGGTCAGGGTTGAAGCCATCATCACTTGTGCCACAGCAGCTATGGAGCGACCTCGAACCGATGATATTGAGGAAGACAAAGGTGGGACTTAGCTTTGAATGCCTTAGATAGTACCAAAGCATTTGTGCAGGTGCCTACAAGGAAAGTCTACATTTTTCCCAATGAGAAATAGGATGGGAGGGAGCAAAAAATGATGACAGATAAATGACGAATAAGGCCAAGCTACCTTTGCTCCTTAGACCTCTTCCCTCTTAGCTCTTGATTCTAATCCTGTTATTGCTTTCCCCCTCTCTTCACTTAATTTAGATTTTAATTCTTTATTTAAAATTTCTGTTCTGGAGCAGCTAGGTGGCACAGTGCATAGAGCACTGGCCCAGAGCTCAAATCAGGCCTCTGACATTTACTAGCTGTGTGACCCTGGACAAGTCACTTAACACTGTTTGCCTCAGTTTCCTCATCTGCAAAATGAGCTGGAGAAGGAAATGGCAAACCCCTCCAGTATCTTTGCCAAGAAAACCCCAAATGGGGTCATGAAAAGTCAAATACAACTGAACACCACCACCACCACCACATAGGTAGTAAGTGAGAGAGCTAGGGTTTGAAATCAAGTGCTCAACTCTGAAACTCTTCCTGAAATTCCACCCAGGAGCCTGGAACCATGAGAATTTGCCCGGTCAGTTGAGTGGAGGTTCAAATCCTTGGCCCTTAGGATTTCTAGGTACTATCTGTGTGCTACTTGTGTGGTGAGAACTGCCAAGGTTTTCAGAAACCATAATGCATTCAGACTATTAGCATTCACTGGATGATTTATAATGCATCCTGGCACTGCCATCCCATGACCGGGGCATAGTGGGTACACTCTTTATTTCATCATGTACATTGACTCATGAGAGAGAAAGCAGGTGCTCGCCTCAGGATTTAAGACACTAAGGTTATACAGTGTGTGTTTTGGCACATGATTGTGATTTTAAAAAAACCATTGGCCCTTGGCATGAGGACTGGTCCCATCCCACTCACTGAAAGAATCCCCAGAAGAAGATCTTCATTGCATCAGGCCCAGACCTTCCCCGTGCAATGCAACTAAACTTACCTTCTTGTCCTTCTCAGAGGAAAAGGATGGGGCTTCATTTGACACCATTATCTGTCCGCACACCAAGGGCTGTGCGGATTTCCAAACAAGTCTTGAGACCCCTTGGAGGGGCAGTAGATTCATTCATCACGTAAAGTATTCATTAGGTTCTAGCTGTATTTATTGTCCAGAAATAAATTTAGCTCAGTCTAAGCTGCACATCACCTGTGAGCATGTGGGCTTGTCCGAATTATGTTGTTCTTATATACTGAACGGTAGAATTCAACCTGGGGACAGTCTCCAAATATTTGAAAACAGCCATTATACTAGATCTACCAGCTAAATATCTACATTCTTTCAAACAATCTTCAAATTTGACGGTTCCAGATCCCATCTCCATCCCTGGCCAACTTCTCTGAGTATTCATATATTTGCCAATGTCCTTCCTAAAGTGTAGCATCCAGAACTGAACACAATTTTCCAGGTTATCTTCTCACCGGAACAGAGTATAGTCATACTGTAAATTCCCTAGTTCTGGATACTAGGCTTCTATTAATTTAGCCTGAGATTGTATTTGCATTTTTAGTTTATATTGAGTTGTGGTCCACTAAGACTTCGAGGTACTTGTCATATGAACTCTTGTTGTACGGTTATCCCTTCCACAATGCAGGGGTGTGGCACCTTTTCGATCTGGAAAATCCACATAAAATTTTTGGCCCTCTTTTCATACCAGAGAACAATTCCACATTTTTTCTTTTTCTTTTTATAAGGTGTTTACAGTGCTTCATTCTAAAATTTAGGTTGATATTATATAACACTATACATATATTTTATGCATTTCTGAGTTTCTAAATTTCTGTGTCATCTGCTGGCCTTTGCATGTCGTCTGTGACTTCCAAAAGTTCCCCAAAATTCCCATTTAATTTCTTATGCCAACACACAATATAGTGAAACCATGATGAGGAAGGTTGCTATGTGGAAGGGATAACTATAATTGCATCTCTCTCATCCCATATCTGTACAGGTATGTGTAAATATGCATGTAAATATATGTGTGTGTGTATTTTAAACCTCAGTGTATGATTTTGCATTTATCCTTCTTAAATTTCACCTTGTTAGATTTGGTCCATCATCCTAGCCTGTCTATTTAATTTGGGCATTCATTTCCTATTAAAATTTTCTATGATTTTTTGTTCTCCTTAACCTCCAAAGCACACTTTTGTTTCAGCCAACTCAATTAATGACATTTTCTTAGATTTTTAGGATTTTTCTTCTTAGAACGAAAAGGATTAATAGAGTTCTCCTACCCATCCTAATTCCTAATTTAGTGGCCAATGCTTCTCCAAATACATAAGGAAAAAAGGAGAGAGTTCATGCACAAAATTAACATTGAAATGAGATTTATTGAAGGATAAATTCTTTATAGCTACTAGAAGCTCAAGAAAAGGGCTGGAAAAGGGAGATGCTACAAATCTCCAAGTTTACATTCAGGGCAGTTGTATACAATGTAATTACAAGTAGTGGCTCCAAAGATGGCTTCCCAGGGGCAACTAGGAGGTGCAGTGGATAGAGCATCGGCCCTGTAGTCAGAAGGACCTGAGTTCAAATCCCGCCTCAGATGCTTAACACTTAACTGGCTGTGTGACCCTGGACAAGTCATTTGACCCCATTGCCCAGCAAAAAAAGGGGAAAAAAACCCAAAGATGGATTCCCAGTTTTTCCTTTCTGTAAAGGAATGGTCCAACCTGTAACATGTGTTAGTCAATTTTTCTTGCTTCCTATGGGTCTTAAGGCAGTGATTGGCAAGTTAACAAGTTGCTCTTTATTACCTGCCCTCTCAGATCTGTATTTTGAGATATTTGAACATCGCAATGGGTTAAATGAGAAGTATAGGAATCACTTAACAAAGAGGTGCAGAAGTTTGTTATTATACCTACAGCATACTATAGACTCTGGAGACTGGCTCAGGAGAATTAAATTAAAGAAAAAATTCAAATCAAGCAGTCTGTTTTAAGGTAACAAACGGCCAAGAAATTTAGAGATGGAGAGAATTCTTGTACACACACACACACACACACACACACACACACATATATACTTTTATATACGTATGTATATGTGTGTGTGTGTATATATATATATATACATATATATATATATACATATATATATATATACATATATATATATGTACTTGTGCCAATTATTTATTATTCTGCATACCTATGTAACAAGGGTGATCAGGAGAACTCCCTGAGTTGTTGGACTGGGGCACCTCACAATTGAAGGGTGAGTGTTGCTGTTAGGTGCCCTAGTCCAGAAAATTAGAGGGTTCCATGATCCCTGTTACAACTATGTAGTTTTATTTTCTGTTATGTTAAGCCTTATCTCCTTAAACAATTTGAGAAGCTCTCTCCTTGTTTCCAAAATTATCCATAAATAAATGTCTGACCAGGCCTGAATAGCCCCATAGGGTCTGGGATAACAGATAACAATTCCCTTGTCACCACATCTACAACCTTTCAAAGGATGAAATTGCCATAAAGGCAAGAATTTCTTCACTGAGCTGCTTTTGGCAAAGAAAGATCTTCAGCAGATATATAGATAATCTCTGCCTGATGCCTACAGTCTCCCTTTGGCATTTATCATCTGTTTTCCTTTTGACCCAGAGAGGTTTACTCCTACCACAGTATCACTTCTGTTTATCCCTTCTTTAATATTCATCCAAATGTGTTTCATCATGCTTCCTCCTCTTATTCATGGATTTCCACACAGAAACACATCCTTTCGAAATATAATGCTACTTAGAAGAGCAAGGAATAGTTTACCTTTCAGATCTGTGGAGAAAGGAAAAATTTATGACAAAACAAGAGATAGAGAACATTATGAAATGCAAAATGGATAATTTTGATTACATTAAATTGAAAAGTTTTTGCACAAAACCAATGCAGCCAAGATTAGGAGGGAAGCAGAAAACTGGGAAAGAATTTTATAGCCAGTGTCTCTGATAAAGGCCTATTTATGAAATAGATAGAGAACTGAGTCAAATTTGTAAGAATACAAGTCATTCCCCAATTGATAAATGGTCGAAGGATATGAACAGTTAGTTTTCAGATGAAGAAATTAAAGCTATCTATAGGCATATGAAAAAATGCTCTAAATCACTATTGATTAGAGAAATGTAAATCAAAATGATTCTTAGGTACCACATCACAACCTATCAGATTGGCTAACGTGACAAAACAGGACAATGATAAATGTTGGTGAAGATGTGGGAAAATTGGAACACTAGTACATTGTTGGTGGAGTTGTGAAATGCTCCAACCATTCTGAAGAGCAATGTGGAACTAGCCAAAAGGCTATAAAAATGTGCATACCCTTTGACCCAGCAATACCACATCTACATCTACATCTTCTACCACTTTTACATAATAAAAACAGGAAAAGGACTCACATGTACAAAAATATTCATAGTAGCTCTTTTTGTGGTGGCAAAGAATTGGAAATTGAGGGGATGCCCATCACTTGGGGAATGGCTGAACAAGTTGTGGTATATGGAATAAATTATAAACAGTAACAGCCACATTGTGTGATGACTGACTCTGATAGACTTAGCTCTTCTCAGCAATGCAAGGATCTAGGACAACTCCAAAAGACTCCTGATGGAAAATGCTATCCACATCCAGAGAAAGAACTATGGAGTCTGAATGCAGATCGAAGCATGCTATTTGCTCTCCTTTTCCTTTGTTGTTTTGTTTTATTGCTTCATTCTCATGGTCCACCCCCCCCCCCATCAGTTCTAATTCTTCTTTACATCATGACTAATGGGAAAATGTCTAAGATGATGTACAAGTAGAGCCTATATCAAATTTCATGCTGCCTTGGGGAGAGGGGGAAAGAGAAAATGTAAAACTCAAAATCTTATGGAAATGAATGTTGAAAACTAAAAATAAATAAATTATTTTTTAAAAAGGAAAAAAAGAAATATAACACTACTTCATCAATGTTCTTATCTAAGCTGTACCTTTTGAGGCAGGGCATTCCTTCCATTGTTGTATTCCAGTCATAAGTTATATCCTACCAAGTTTCAGTTATACTAATATGAAGTTGAATGTACTTTCCTAATGTTGAGTTCTTTTGCTTACTTGTTTATTACTAATATTCTATGCCCTTATGTATAGACATCTGAGACCAAAAGTATTTTTACCGCTCCTCCTCCTGGATATTGTCTTCTGAGGATTACTGGGTAACTTCCCTATTATTTGTATTTTTTGTTATTCTCTACCATCTGTTTCTCCCTATGATATATGGCTTAGCAGTTGTATGTGAGCAGTTTTCTCCTTCCATCTCCATTTTCAATTTAAATCCCTGTTGATCAGATCCTGAAGTCTTCAGCCAAATGTATTCTTCCAGGTTCTTGTTAGATGTGCTCCATACCTGTACTGTATCCCTAGTCAGCAGCCAAAATTATTATCTCTTAAGTCCTGATCCAAAAATCCAAATTCCCCTCTGTGAAACAGTTTCCTTAGCCAGCTATTTCTTTCCCATATCTTCTTTTCTTTTTTTTCATTTTAAATTTTTATTTTACTTTAATTTATGGAATAAAAAAAGCATTTCTATAACATAATACAATAAAAGATGATTGCACACGAAACTGCGAATCTACTATGCACAACTTGCTATTCCTTTCAAATATACAACAAAATTATCATGTAAATTTCTTTTTTCCTTTTTTCTTTTTTTTCTCTCCCCCCATGGCTACCATTAGACATACATACACACATACATATATATGTATGTATGTATATATATGTATATATATGTATATATATGTACACACACATACATACATACATACATACATATATGTGGGTAAAATTATCCTACACATACTTCTATTTATCAGTTCTTTCTCAGGATGCTGATGTCACCTTTGTCATATGTCCTTTATGAGAAAGCAGAACCAAGAGAACACTGTACACAGTAACAGCAACATTGTACGATACCTAACTTTGATAGACTTAGCCCTTCTCAGCAGTGCAAGGATCTAAGACATCTCCAAAAGTCTCATGATGGAAAATACCATCCACATCCAGAGAAAGAACTATGGAGTCTGAATGCAGATTGAAGCATGCTATTAGCTCTTTCCTTTGTTGTTTTTTGTTTTTTCTTTCTCCTGGTTTTTCCCTTTTGTTCTGATTCTTCTTTCACAACGTGACTGTTGTGCACAACTAGTTCACTCGGCTACAGAGCCTACCTAGGACCTAGGGTTTCCCAATCACCTGAAGAATCAAGACCAGCTTGATCTTTCACTCGGAGCACGCATTGATGAGGCGGGAGAAAAGATGGCAGCAACTCCGTTTATTTTTAGCAAAGCACTTACTTATATAGTAAAATAACAGGCACTCTTTCTCAAGTTACAATGACGTATAACCCATGCTGTGCTCAAGGACAGTGCATGCACAGTCTGTGCACTTACCTACTACCAATCACAAATACACTGTTAATGACTAATGAGTAACTAGGGAAGTTAGAGATGCATAGAATGGAGCACCGAACCAGGTGGCCTCTGCTCATAGATCAATCACCCGAGAGGGGCCTCCGCCCATCAGTGAGACCTCATGAACAGCCTGTGGCCCTCTACATCCTTACAGATCCCCAACACATGACTAATGTGGAAATATGTTTAATATGATCATAGATGCATAGCCTGTTCAGATTCTCTGCCATCTTGGAGAGGGAGAAGCGGAGGGAGGAGGGAAAAATTTGAACTCAAAATCTTATAAAAGCAAATGTTGAAAACTAAAAATAAATAAGCTAAATAAATAAATGCTCTTTCCCTCTTGGGATGTACCAATAAATCCTCAACATTACTTGATGAAGAATAAGAAACTATTTCCTCATCAGAGGATTCAGTTCTACTTTCCATAGGAAGAGCTTCAACATCATTAAATAAGACAGCTAGGTGGCACAGCAGAGCCAGGAAGACCTGAATTCAAATCCAGCCTTCAACATTTACTTCTATGTGACCTTAGGGAAGTCACTTAATTTTTCTCAACCTCAGTTTCCTCATCTATTTTTTAAAAAATGATAATAATAATATCTACCCACCTGGGGATACTGCAAGGATAAAATGAGATAATACTTATAAAGTACTTAGCAAATCTTAAAGTACTATAAAAATGCTTATTATCTAGCTCCAGTGGTTTTTCTTCCCATTCTTCTCCAGCTTGCTCTTCTACCCTCCAATCTCCTAACATGGGATAGGGTTTCCCTCTGTGGTGTCATAGTTTTTTTCTCTCCCTTTGTTTTCTTCTTAAAACATTACTTTAATTCAACAAATAGTTATTAAGCTCTTACTACATACCAGACACTTGACTAAGAGCTGTGGATACAAAGACAAAAAAAAAAATTCCCTGACCTCAAGGAACTTACATTCTACTGGAAGAGGGGTAATACAAAAAATTCATAAATAAATACAAAGTACATGAAATAACCTCAAGAGGGAGAAAAAGCTAATTTTACCTGAGAAACCCACATTCCTTCAGCCCTTCTTCTTCCTCCTCTAGTACAGAGAGCAATCTGCATTTTGTACATATGTAGCTATTAATTGTCCCTGGAAACAACACAAACATAGTAAAACCTCTTTAGTCTCTAAAATATTTTCCTATCTTCCACAACCTACTCATGTTCTCTATGGCGCTTAGTACTAACTCTTTTTGGGTTTTTTGGTGAGGCAGTCAGGGTTAAATGACTCTCCTAGGGTCACACAGCTAGTAAGCGTCAAGTGTCTGAACTCATATTTGAACTCAGGTCCTCCTGATTCCAGGGCCAATGTTCTATCCACTGTGCCACCTAGCTGCCCCTTAGTATTAACTTTTATAGCAAACTGCATCCTGGGGGTTCTGTTCCCATAGATCTTAAGCAAGGCCTTTTGATAGGCGACATTCCCATCTTTTCTTATACTTTCTTGTCTTTTCTTGTTTCTGGAACTCCTTGGTCAAGTAATTGATCATCAATGGAGTCCTCCCAACAGCTCTGCAGCAGCACTGTTATCTGCTAGAAGACCCTTGACTCTGAATCCTTTCTCACCTTGTTCTTTCTCTTCTCTCGTGACTGTCTAGAGATGTGCCTTTGTCCTGCCCTCTTCACTATTCATACTATTTAAACAGCTGCCCAATAAATACTTCTTGAATAAATGAACATAAAACATCTGCACTGGACCAGGTAAAGATGGAAGAGACTTGGAAGTCATCATGCTCAAAGCTTTCATTTTACAGATGAGAACCCCAAGCCCCAGAGAAATAAAGATGACTTGCTAAAGGTTTAGAGGTATGTTGGAGCCGGGTCAAACCATCTTTCAAAAGCTGGTTGTTAAATTTTCAGTGCAAGCATTCACACCTTGGAAATAAGTAAGCTACCAATCAGGGCCTGACTTATTGTTTTGTTGATTATCTATACTTAAAGTGATGGAGTAAATGTTAACAGTGAAGATTAAATTTAAAACTATGTTGTGCCACTTTCAGAGAGTTGGTTGTTAAATATTTATCAACACGCAACTGCCAAGGTCATGCATCAGAACCAACAATGTATGCTCTGCAGCAGTGGTGTCAAACTCAAGTAGAAATGGTTCCCTTGGGTGGTACGTTGATTTAGAAAATCACAAGTTAACATTATCTGTTTTATTATAGTTTAAAAATTTGGGGGGGGGCAGGTAGATGGCGCAGTGGATAGAGTACCAGCCCTGGAATCAGGAGGACTTGAGTTCAAGTGTGACCTCAGACATATAACACTCACTAGCTGTGTGACCCTGGGCAAGTCACTTAACCCCAAATACCTCGCAAAAAAAAATTGTTAAACATTTTCCCAATTGTATTTTAATCTGGTTCACCCTGGGAGGGAGCTTTTCGATTTACTTCTGATATGTGATGGAGAAGGGCGTGAGAAGGAAGCTTTCTGACCTTCCTCTCTTATGATAACAGACAATGAAGATTCTATTCAAACTGAGCCCATCCAGGAGATACCAAAAGAATTACAGCCTGTGCTCAAGGAAGCACTAATGGATAAGAATGCCAGTGTACGCATGGCAGCAGCTGTGTGTCACTACACCCTCCAAGCACATGACAGCCAAGCCCAGGAAATCATGCAGAATGCTCTGGCAGTAGGTGAGGGGCTAACATGCCATCACTTTTCCTCTGAGCCTGGGGATATTGAAGGGCTGCCCTCCATCAGCCTTCTCTAATCCTTTACTCTCTATCATCACCTTCTGGAAAATTTGCTATCACCCTAGGGGTTGGTTTTATAAAGAGCACTCCAGGAGTTATTGTTTCTTCCTATCTATCATGCCTACAATTCTGGCATGTTACCCTCAGATAGTCTCTGGGCTATTGTCTCCTGGTCCAAATAGGCTTCTTACAGACCAGAGTGATTAAAAAGGAGCCTTTTTTTCCTTTTCTTTTTTTTTTATGGGACAATCAAGGTTAAGTGATTTCCCAGGGTCACACAGCTAGTAAGTGTCAAAAGTCAGAGATCAGATTTAAACTCAGATCCTCCTGACTCCAGGGTCAGTGCCTCTGTGCCGCCTAGCTGCCCCGTTTTTTTTGGGGGGGGGTTGAGCCCCTTCATTCTTAAAAGAAAAAAATCACAATTAAACAGAGCATGGCAAGGTTATTAAGCAGAGATATAAGACAATTTCTTCATACTCTCAAAAGTCAAGCCATGTTACCTGAGAAAAGAGAGGGCTCAGGTAAGAGTCATAGAGGTCAAATGCCTCTGGACCATTAGGGAATGGAGCTATTCTAGACCCTAGAGTAGAAGTAGAAGCCTGAAAATCAGGCCTCTTCAAGGAACTTTGAGAAAGCAGCTACCTCACCCATAGGACATCATCAGGGATCTCAAGGATCATGATTCCAGAAAGGGTGGTGGACCGTCATTGAAGAGGCAAGTGGGACCCGGCTGGGATTCTTCCAGGAATGTACTTTTCCATTTTTTTTTTTTGCAGGGATCTAGCTTACCATCACCGTCTCCTATATGCCTTTCCCCAACAACTTTTGGCCTCTAAGGAAAACTCTTTTTGAATCAATCACCGAAGCATTTATTGAATATCTACTGTATGAGAGGCATTATTCACTATTGCCGTATTTATTGGATTTCGCTCAAAACATTTGAGATAGGGGAAGGGACATAGGGTAAGGGTGTGAATGCTCTTCTGAAGCCCTTAATTATAGTTGCTTATGCAAGCTATGGGTATGTTTTAAGGAGCACTTATCCCTTCTCATCACTAGCTAAGTCACCTGTGTAGCCCATCTAGAATGAAATCACCCAAGGACATAGTATAGGGGGTTCAGGGAGTTGAAGAGCAGGCTTTAGGATGGGACCATCCCAGAGGGCTAGTCCTTAGACTGTGGAAATAAAATTCTAACTGCTCCATGATCCTTCTACTCTTCCTCCAATTCCATTTTGACAGGTAATGATGCTGACAGCTGGGCAGCAGCCCAGTGCCTGGCTCTGGACGGGATTGCTTCTTTTCCTGTGGTGAAGAGAATCCTCTACCAACTGTTTTGCAGAAAGGACAAGAAAACAGAGGAACAAACTTGTCTCCTGCTGAGCTATCTCAGTGATAAGACAGTAGGTGCCCATTCTAGAGGCGTACAGAGAGAGATCAAGATGGAAATTGGATCTTTTGCTATTCTTACAGTCAAATTATGGTGGGATTGCGCATTTTCCTATCAAGTTGCCTTCATAAGGGTGGACTCCACAGTCTATCTGTACTAATACCTCACCACGAAAGGGGGCATTCATAGTCTTCCAAAAACATAAGCATTTATCCTAAGTCTAATTCTGTATGGCAACTGTGAACTGGCATGCCTAGACCCATATTGGCACACCAAGGTTTGGACAGTAGTTGGGTTCAAATTTGGGAAAGTTCATGGTGGCTAATTCTCAAGGCAGGGAAGAGCTGAGAATGATAGAGCCTTCAGTTTCCAGACATCAGGACAAGACAGAGCTTGGGGATAGCAGAAAATCAAACAAAAGGTCTAAGAGTCTGTAGGGAGCAATAGTCAGGTTTTTAGAGAGTTCACAGAATCTCAGAGTTGGAAGTAAACTCCAAGTTCCATCTAGTCCAGATCCATTCCTGAATGAGAATCCCTTCAACAACATGCCCCCAAAGTAGCCATCCAACCTTTACTTGAAGACCTCCGATGCCTAGTAATGCCCATTGTACTTTTTGTTAGCAAGTTTTCCCTCACATTGACTCTAAACTTGCCTCTGGGAAACATTGACTTGTTTTTCCTAGTTCTGTGTTCTGGGGCCGAAAAGAACAAAGAGAATCCCCTCCTCCGCTGGATGGTGCTTCCAGTACTTAAAGAAATCAGTCAAGGGCCCCTGAATCTTCTCTTCTCGAGACTAAGCACCCCCAGTTACTTTAGTCAGTTCTCGTAAGGCAGAATTTGAGATCTGCAACCATGCTGGTTGCCCTTCTCTGGACACTCTCCAGATGATCGATTATGTTTTTCTTAAAATGTGGTGACCTCAACTGAAAATGATCTTCCAAAGCAGAGTACAGCAGGACTATCAATGCCTTGTTCTTTATTATTATGCCTCTCTTACTGCTGCCTAATATTTTATTAGCTTTCTTGACTATTATAACACATTGTTGATTCATATTTAGTTCATAGATTACTAAAACCCATCTTTTCTTTTTTTTTTTGGATGAATTGGTATCTAGTTATGCTTCCTTTATTACCCATGAAATTGATTTTTTTGAACCTAAGTAAAAGGCTTGGTTTTTGTATTTATTATATTCACTCCTATTAAATTTCATCTTAATTATATTTGGTCCATTTCCTGTCAAGATCTTAAGAAATCCTTCCCAACTTTGTGCAATTAGCAAGTTTGATAAACATGCCATCTATGCATTTATCCAAAGTATCAATTTTTAAAAAAACATCGAGTAGTTACAGCCAGAGAAAATGTACCTTATCCTTCGAATTATTGTTTTATCCTGGGCCTGGAAAGTTGATTTACAGAGATGGAAAGACACTAGTAGAGCAATATCTGATTAACCTATTATGTGAGAGGGAGACTGCATCTCCCCCAACTCCTTTTGAGGTTCTTGTTGAACTCTCATTTGCAATGGAGCAGAAGTTGCATGATAGGATAAAAGGATGCTATCTGTATGTTGTAATCTCTTTTCACTCCCTCTTTTCTTCACTGACCTTGCCAAGCCAGGAAAACCAATTCCCCTTGTAGTCATGTTTGAGATAAGTAGTGTACATTCCTCCTACAATTTCTTTTTACAATCTTCATGTATGTGTAGTTGGGATTCTATCAGTCTTCACCAAAAGATCTGAGAGGTATCCAGGAAGAAAGCTAGGTTATGGTTGGAGACATATATCTCCCTACAGGAGCATTTGGCTTAGTTATCTTTTCACTTTTTTTCTATGTACAATTAACTATTTGATCACAGAATGCTAAGTCTCCGAATCTATTAATGTAGTAAAAAGTGAGTTGAACCCACAGATGAGATGGGGGCTCTGAGCTAGGTATAGACTGCAAGCTTCCTATTTTAATATTTTGAGCAATACTCTATTTCTTTTTCTAGATGGAATTTAGACCCAGCCATCAAGGGGCCAATTGAAGTTGCTTTGGCCTACTGCTGCCTTATAGGCTATTCAATAGGGAAGCAACCTTGTTGAGAGGCTGAGTTTCCACAGGATACCAGGAGGGATGTTGCAGCCTCTCAGAAAGGGAGTAGCTCATGCATGCATAGGAGACAGTAACTAACAAAGTCTGGGCTGGTAGGCAGTCCAGATATTGCACCGATTTAATTAAATTCTCTTCCTAAATAATGAACTCAGTGATAAGCCATGTTTCCATTGGCTTGAAGAAGGCAGTCCTAAAGCCATATAACCCAGGGCCCAAGTGAGTGCTGGTCTCATATAGCAAAAAAGCCAATTACAGATCCCTGGAGCACTCTACTAATGATGTCCTTCTAAGCAGATACTAAACCATTAATGACTTCTTTGGGGGTCCAATCATTCAAACAACTCTGAAACCACATAAATATGCTGTTAGTTATTCCACTAATCTCTAGACAGTAAAAATATCTGAGAGTATACCCGCCAAAACAAATCCAAGAACTATGGTAACAAAATTATTTAAAAAAAAACTTTTTATACAAATAAAATCAGATTTAAATAATTGGAGAAATATTCATTGTTCATGGGTAGGCCAATATAATAATATATAACAATATATAATGTAATATAATAAAATGACCAATATAATAAATATAATAAGATTACAACCTCAGTGATTATCATTTAATATATAATATGATATATTATATATAATATGATAAATTAATTGGTAACCAATGTAATAAAAACGACAATTTTACCTAAACTAATTTATATATTCAATGACATCCCAATTAAATTGTCAAAAGATATTTTACTGAGTTAGAAAAATAATAAAATTCATTTGGAAGAGCAAAAAGCCAAGAATATCAAAGGAACTAATGAAAAAAAATTTAAAGGAAGGAGGTTTAGCAATACCAGACACTAATCTTCATCTTTCCCATCAAAATAGTTAGCCAGAGGTGATGTGCTGTGGTGGAAAAAATATTGAGCCAGAATCTGGGAGACCCTGGATCCAATCCTGGTTTTTCTACCCTTGGGCTGTGTGACTGTGTTGTTAACACTGAGTAAACTCAGTAAAGGTGTGGGGAGCCTGTGAATGACACCATCAACAGCTGCCCCCATCCTTCTGATGATACCTAGAGGCAGCTTTTAACTGGGATGTTTAGGAAAGAAAGGGTGGGAAAAGGTGGCTACTGCTCCAGGTGCATTTTAAGATTAGATTGCATCACACTGAGATGCTATAACTATTAATTTGCAGAAACAAACAGATCTGAGAAGCAAAGGCTCTGAAATGCACAGGAATTAAAGATATTATTGAGCAGAGCACAAGAATGAGCCTGATCATAAGGGGGGGTAAACATATTCAACATATGAAAAAGAATATTTTCAAGTCCTACCAAGACAGGAAGTGGTCTCATAGTATGGATGAAGACTACAGGTGTTTGTGGGAAGAAATTGCTTGCCATTGATGGAAGTAAAAGGAAGTAGATGAAGATACCACATTGGTAAGCTGTTTCAAGTTAGATGGACTGTGACTGCAAGGTGGATTGCTAACACACACGTAATCTTATCTCTAAAAGTATCAGTATAGTAGGGAAAGAAAAGTATAGAGGAGCATGGGGGTAGGAGATGATTCAAGTGGGACAGGGAACAGCCTCAGAGCACTTCTCTAAGAAGTTTCTACTAGGACACAGCTAGTGATTGCATTCTGGTGGAAGGTTGACTGGGTGCCTCAGCCCTTCTGCCCAGGAATGCTGTAACTGGTATACTCAAAGGAAGTAGGACCAAAGTTGGTGTATTTCCTGAACAGCCTTGGTGTTCAGATGCAGAAATGCAGAGAGTTGTGTGTGAGGACACAGCAAAGGAGGAGCCAGGTGAGGTTTATGGACTTAGCTAGATAGCATATATCCAGCAATCAGAGTTTCTAGGTGTGCCCTTACTGTATGTATATGGGTTCCCCTGATTGCCTACTCATTGGGCATAGACTAAGCAGTGGCATTGTTGGTATCGCTAAAGTTCTATATATTCAGAGGTGAACATTTACACTGCAGAAAATTCAAATTAGGTTTTGATTTTTTTCTTTTGTTGATGGTGTAGATAGACTGGAGGAAGTGTTAATAATGCAGATTAATATATTGCTTGCCTTCTAGGGAGAGAATTTGAAACTCAAAAAAAAATTTAAAGAATGCTAAAAATAAATAGTGAAATTTATAATATATAAATAAAACAATGCAGATTGTTAAATATAATTATTAAATATTTAAACTATCAAATACTATTTTAAAATTATTGTTTAAATTATTAAAATAAAATAATGCAGATTGTGTGTGTGTGTGTCTGGGAGCCCTGCTGTTAAACATCTACCAGCATACCTCTGTATTGCTCTATAAACATTATTTAAGCTCTGTAGGAGCGCATTAGGAGGCTCAAGTTATCAATGAAATTATCATCACATTGGAAGTCTGATGACTGTAGGCTAATAATAACAATAACAATAATAAAGATTGGCACTTATATAGTGCTTTAAGGTTTGCAAACTTTACATCCACTATCCCAACACCCTGTGTATATGTTCTGAGCCCAGGCTACTTGTTGTCCAGAAGTCAATATCTAACTTACTTCAGTACCACAGCATCCCCTGGGATTCTGGACTTTAGGGGTTGTAGACGAGGCATTTACATGTAAGCTATCACTGACTTAGACATATAAGAAATGGTAACTTAGAAAATATGAATGACATCACAATAGGCATGAAACATACACAGGGCAAGTTATATATTAGTCAATGGAAGGAGAAGAGGGGAAAAAAGAAAAGTGAATACTGAATTAGGGTCAAAGAGCAGCCTAGGAGTTTTCTCTTAAAATTGGGTGAACTCGGCCCCTTTTTTGCCCTCTCCAGTTTTAATGGGACCCGAGTTGGCTGGCTCTGATTGCAGAAGTAGGCATCCTACCTTTCCACTGCTAGGAGATAGACATCCCATGTTTATGATCCTGATTCTGAATGCCACGTTATGGTGGGTCTTTCAAGGTTCCATCACTACTGAGGGTGCATAGAGAAACCACTAAACTAGGTCTTACATCTCCTCAGAGCCTGATACATACCCTACTTGCTGTGGAACTGAACAGCTACCAATGGGAAGACAGGATTGTGGCCTGCCGAGCTCTTTCCCGAATCAGGGGGAGGAGTGTCAACCAGGTAAATCCTTTTCTTGTCCTGTTAAATCTAATTTGCAGCATAAATAAGGTGGGCAACACTTATAGCTATTTGCCGCTGTCAAATTCCCCCCTTCCACTCTACTATGCTTTCCAAACAGATCTCTCTATCCCAGTACCACTACTTCTTATCTCTAAATGTTACCAAAATCAAAATTAAAAGAGACCAGTCATATCATAATGCACCAGTAAGAAGCAGCTAGCTTCTGTGACAAATCCCCTGCCAGACTAATCAGATACCAACCAAATGCCACCCCTAGTCCCTACACCATAGATGTGCATCAGGTATGGGCCAGGTATAGAGATCCCAAGCATACTTATATCTAACCCCCCCCCAAAAAAAATCATCTCCAAATGTCTCCATCCTGGCTACCTGTTCTACTACCTGATCTTGAACTTCCTGAACAAAATAAATATTTATGTATTGCATGTCTAATCAGTGTCCGGTGATGGCTGTTGGAAGGCCTTGGCATGGTCTTCCTGGTGTAAACAAGTATAGGAGGTGTTGCCTAGTGTTGAGGAAGAGAAGGGAGGGAAAAAATAGTTTTTAAGCCTCATCTCTGAGCCTTGTTTTAGCAAAAATTATACCACCCTTCTAAGACAAGAGAGGATTCTACTTTTGCTATAGCCCATAGACATTAGACAGGATGTGGAAATTTGTTTTTTATGATTATACATATTTGTAATGGATTTTGTTTTTCTTGCTTTGTCAAATGGGTGGGGGAGAGGGAGTAGGGAAGGAGAGAATTCTAAATTGAAAATAAAATAAAATTGAATTAAAAACCAAAACAACATGTTATAATCCTTCCCTTCAAGAACCTAATAGTCTAGTTGATGAGATAAAACAATTAGTAAACAAGTGCTAAGCTCTATAGTGCCTGCTGTGAGTAAAATTGGAGAAGAGAAATTACTAAGGACTAGACTAGTCAGGGAAGACCTCATGGAAGAGTTGGGTCTTGAACTGTGCAGAATCTAGATAAATATACAAAGGGCATTCCAAACAAAGGGAGCAGCAAGGCTAAACCCTAACCACCATTCCTATCTGCCCTAGATGAATCTTCCTAGAATAATGAAGATGCCCCACCCTTTCTAAGCCTTCCCTTTCCCCACAATGTATTTCATCAACCTGCCAATATCTATGGAGTATCTTTAGTTATCTAAATGGATTTTCCACAAGGATGCCCAACTTGATCATCTTATTCTCGTGTACTCCGAATACCACAAGCCTGGCCTGAAATTATACCGGTTATTCCCACAGCCCTGAACAGCTAACTGTTCTTTCAGCCCCACTGTCTAGAGGTATGGGTACAAATACAGTTGAATAACCAGGACACAGAAAGAAGTTCAGTTACTGACCAGAGCATCTTGGAATCTAAGAGTTTTAAGAGACCACAGAGGCCTTCTCATGCAACCCATACCTAAGCAAGAATACCTTCCACTATATCCTCGATAAGTGGTCATCCAGTGTCTGCTCTGGGACCTCCCGTAAGAGGAGACCCTCTACCTCCCAAGACAATACATTCTGCTCATGCACAGCTCTTTGACCTAAAGATTATAGTAGGCATGTGTGACATGGGCATCAGGTGAGATCTAGATGAATCAAGAGCCTTCTCTGGAACTCTCTTTGGCAGCTGGGTAGTGCAGTGGATAGAGCACCAGCCCTGAAGTCAAAAAGACTCATCTTCCTGAGTTCAAATCTGTCCTCAGATACTTGCTAGTCATGTGACCCTGTTGTGCAAGTCACTTAACCCTGCTTACCTCAGTTTCCTCATCTGTGAAATGAGCTGGAGTGGGAAATGGCAAACCATTCCAGTGTCCTTGCCAAGAACATCCAAAAAAAGGAGTCATGAAGAGTAGGATATGACTGAAAAATGACTGAAAAACAACAACAATTGGAAAAGATAATTCAGGTGTCTTTTCATTCATAATTTCACCTGTTCTGTGCTTCTTCCTACTGGTAATTAAAGGAATATCAATGACTACCTACAAATATGGTGGTGTTTGAGTGGCAAGGGTTGAAAAAAGCGATGCTAAGAAGATAAATACTTATTGTCATGTAATTGGAAAGAAGGGCAATCTCCTCTCTTCCCTTGTCTAGGATAAAATCTAATCACATGTCACACCTATCAGCGTTATGTCTCAGGTACCCAAGCAAATTGCCTTGATCATGAGGGATGTTTTGTCTTTGTAGGATCTGAAACACAAATTGATCCAGCTGATGTGGAATGATTGGAACTGGGGTGTGCGCCAAGCAGCTGCCCAAGCCCTTGGACAGATGAAGCTGGGGAAGGAGGTGCATGACAAGATTGGGTAGGCTATGTCTTTAGGATGGTCAGAAAGAAGTTATAGTGTAAGCAGGGGTAAATATTTACTGAGTGGCTGTAGGGGGAGGGTGAGGAATGCATGCAATACATTTTTTAATATGATATTTTTATTTTTCCACCAATTACATGTTAAAATAATTTCGTTTTAAACATTTTTAAAAAGTTTTGAGTTCTAAATTCTATCCCTCCCCTGGTGGACCTTCTCTGAGATGATAAACAATACTATACAGGTTATACATGTGCAATCATGTAAAATATTTCCATATTAGTCATTTTGTACAAGAAGACTCAATTTATAGAAAAAGAAAAAGAAAAGAAAGTGAAAAATAGCAGGCTTCAGTCTGGATTCTGACAGTATCAGTTCTTTCTCTGGAGTGGGATAGCATGCTTCATCACGGGTCCTTTGGGATTGATTTGGATTATTGTATTGCTGATAATAGCTAAGTCATTCACAATTCTTCATTGTACAATATTGCTGTTACTGTGTACAACATTCTCCTGGTTCTGCTCACTTCCACTTCACTTTGCATCAGTTCATGCAAGTCTTCCCAGGTTTTTCTGAAATCATTGCTTGTCATTTCTTATAGCACAATAATATTCCATCACAATCATATACCCCAGCCTGTTTAGCCATTCCCCAATTGATGAACATTCTCTCGGTTTGCAGTTCTTAGCCACCACAAAAAGAGCTGCTTTAAATATTTTTGTACAAATAGGTCCTTTTCCCTTTTTTTATGTCTTTGGGATATAGGCCTAGCAGTGGTATTAGTGGATCAAAGGGTATGTACAGTTTTATAACCCTTTGGGCATAGTTCCTCCAGAATGGCTAGATTAGTTAACAACTCCCCCAACAGGCAACATAGTCCTTTAATTCAATTTGCATTATTAACACTTTCTCCTTACTTTCTTAAGTCTAGACAATCATCAAAATGATAAATTAAACTCTGTTTTGTAGCCTTTGCGAATTTTGAAGGTGTAATTGCTCACACTGAAAATGTAATACTTGGCTCTCCCAAGCACCCCTGGGAATAAACCATTCTCAATATTGAAAGTATTTGAAGTCTCAGTAACCAAATCATTTATAAAGCTGTATAGAATTCCTACAGTATGCATAACATTGTGATAGGCTTTATTAAGAAAGGAAGGAAACATGCATAGATTAAGAACCTATCATGTACCGGGGGTGTATGGGGTCTTCAGGGAGGACCAGCACCTCTGGTGTGGGGGTTTGCTAAGCCCTTTTCAGGGCTGCTTGTCCACCTTTGGTGTCCGCCTTCCCCCAACTCTCACCTGTGGTTCGGAGAAGCTGTAGCATTTGCAGAGGCCACACCCTAGTAAACCATTGAGGCAGATGGTCTAAACCAGATTGAGGGCAATTGACAGGCCTCGAAACCATCTGTGAGGTAGGGGAATGTCTACCCTGAGCATGTGAAGACTTCCCCCAGCAGAACGGGCAGATGAGAATAATTTGTTGTAATGGCAGCTGAAGCAGGAGCTGTGGACAGCTTAGAGCTTGGTCAGCTATTGAAGATGCCAAGGTCGTCCACTGCATCCTAGGCCACTGCCCATCATCTTGGCTTTTGTCCTGCCACTGGAATCCGATGACTCCGGAAGAGAAAGGGAGACTAATGACTGTCCAGCTCTGCCCCACTTAAATCCAATTCATCCATGAGTCAAGATATCACCCCATGATATCGCTGGTCCTCTTTGAAAATAAAGGACAAACGACACACTAGGTGCCAGGCACTATGCTGCTATTGTCTCATTTGATCTTCACAACAACCCTGAGAAGTAGGTGCTATTATTATCTCCATTTTACAGATAACGATATTGAAGCTGGCAGAGATTAGGTGACTTGCCCAGCTTCACACAGCTAGTAAGGGTCTGAGGCCAGATTCAAACTCAGGTCTTCCTGACTTCAAGCCCAGGGCTGTATCCACTGACTGCACCATCTAGCGGCATCTTATAGATGGTGTAGAAAAAAAAATACCTCAGTCCCTGATTTCAAAAAATTAAAAATAGAGTTGGGAGAGAGAGGTATTTGTGAGTTGAATATCTACTCTATGCTGGTGATTTTGATAGGCTCTGTGATAGACATGAAGGCAAAAGAAAAGGTCCTGGCCTTCAAGAAACTTACAATCTTTCTGCAGCAAAAAGTAATACCTAGGGGCAGCTAGGTGGCGCAGTGGACAGAGCACCAGCCCTGAAGTCAGGAGGACCTGAGTTCAAATGTGACCTCAGACCAAACACTTGACACTTACTAGCTGTGTGACCCTGGGCAAGTCACTTAATCCCAATTGCCTTAAAAGAAAAACCAAAAACCTAACAATTGAAGAATTAGATAATATAGGAAACTAGATATAATCATAGCCACTGCCAAAGCAAGCAACATGGATGATAAATACTGTGGCTATAAAAGAGAAGTCAAAGTGGACTAGAATAGCAAACGGGAAAGTTTTATGGGCACCTTCCTTGATTCTTCTCATTAAATGTGATCTTGGAAAGGATCCCATAACCACTCAAAGCATGTTGTTTGTTTCTCTCATGGCATTTATACTTTGCCTTGCATTCAAGTTATCCAATTTCGATGGGGAAGGAGGGGGAAAGAAGTAAGGTGGTGTGGCGCCAGGCCTAGAGTCAGGAAGACTCCTCTTCCTGAGTTCAAATCTGACCTCAGACACTTACTAGATTTGTGACCCTGGGCAAGTCACTAAACTATGTTTGCCTCAGTTTCCTCATTTGTAAAATGAACTAGAGAAGGAAATGGCAAACTGCTCCAGTATCTTTGCCAAGAAAACCCCCCAAGGGGTCACAAAGAGTTGGACACAACATAGTAGATGCTATGTAAATGCTGGATATGGTTGCTGTTCCTTACCTACAATTCCCACTTCCATTCGATTTCACTGGCTGTGGTAGCTGTGAGAGGAATCCCCTTCATCCTACCTCTATTTCTTAGAATCTCTGGCTTCCTTCAAGACTCAATTCAAGTGTCACCTTTCGCAGGCTGCCACTCTTGATCCCTCTGATAGCTTGTACAAATGTTCTTTAACTGAGGTCTGTTGGCTTTGGGTTGTTTTTTTTTTTAATATTTTGATAACTATTTCATATAATTGGTTTCCTTTGTAATCTTATGTATCTTATTTTTAAAATATCATTCTGAGAAGGTGAATTGATTTTACCTGACTGCCTAAGGGGTCTTTGACAAAAAAAGGAAGAATCCCAGGTCTGGTGCTGTACCCTTTAATGTTACCTTATATCTACCTTATATCTTTTATATAGCTGTAGATATCTTCTTCCATTAGAATATACGCTCCTTGAGGGTAGAGACTTTTGTTTTTGTCTTCATCTCCCTGGCATTTAGCACAGTGCCTAGAACATAAGGAATGCTTAATAAATGCTTGTGGACTAATTTAAGTAGGCCATGAAGGATGAATAGAATTAGGGTGGGGAATAGAAGGGAAGGTACATCAGATAGAAGAGTGATGCAAAAGGAAAAAATCTGGAATGGGTAAAAAAGTGACTAGCCTGACTGGGGTAGGGGGCTTGTGCTGGGAAGTACTGGTGTGAAGTATAAAAAGTTCAAGAGACCTGGTTTCTGGGTAATTAATCATTTTATTAATTATGCTAGTGGATAATCAATAAAAGGGGTCAGTGACACTCAAATGCCAAAGACCCCTCATGGAAGCCACTCAGGGTTTATATGCCCTTGGAAGAGTGGGTGTCCCTGAGGGTGGTAAACAACTCTGATTGGTTAGCCATTAAAAAGAATAATGAATATTATGATGAGAGGTGGACCTGTTCTAATGAAGGGTTGCTCTTTTACTCTTGCTGCCTTGACCACCCCCAGCCTCAGGCAATCTAGACAAAAGACCTACCCCCAAACCAAGCCTGGGTTGATCACAATGAGCTTCCCTACTTGGGTGGGTTCTGAACAAGATTGAAGAGAAAGTTAATCCAATCTCATTATCAGCAATGTCCTTCAGAGACTGAACAACCTACAGGTTTCTGAAAAACTCCTGGTCTAATTGATTATTAAAATAAGAGAGAAATAATAATTTCTCTCAGTGGGCAATAAGATTAGATAGGTGGGGTGAGAATAGGAAGAGCCTTGAATGCCAACTTGACTGTAATTGCAGGTTCCATTGAGCATTTGCAGAACTTCTCTGTCTGATGCTACTAATCATGTGTAATAATTGTGTATTTGAGTCCCTTGGGGATGACAAAACCCCTGACTGCTTCCATTTAGCCATCTATGACTCTGAGCTGAAGGGCACTTTGGGAAAGATGAATTAACTTATTGGGCACTAAGGTGCAAAGGTCAGAGTTAGCCAGAGAAGTTATGTCCAAGCTACAGCCATAGGACCATTGGAGGTTTTTCAGGCAGGGGAATAACTGGGCTCTTCCATCCAACAGAATGATGCTGGGTCAAGGAAACTCCCGGGAGCGAGTAGATGCCCTCTCCCTGATTGGCTGGCTGAAGCTTATGACTGCCAAGTTGCTTCCTGACTTCATTAACTGCTTCTCTGATGATTTTGTGGCTGTGAGGAAGGAAGCCTGCCTAGCGGCTGGTGAACTCAAGATAAAAGATAAGATGGTAAGTTAGAGTTCAAGCAGTTTCTGGACAATTCACTACACTGTTAAAGGTTTATTTGTCATGGGCTTTTCTTCCCACAGTTTTTCTGGGGGTTGGGAAAACACTGTGTAAAAGTCTGATGGGGCGCAAGGGCAAAGGGGCGATCAGGACGCTGGACTAAAAGTCACAATACGTCTTTCCCATTCTAGCTCTACCACTGACTTTCTACCTGACCTTAAGCAAATCACTTAAACCAGGGGTGGGGAACCTGCAGCCTCGAGGATACATGTGGCCCTCTAGGTCCTCAAGTGTGGCCTTTTGACTGAATCCAAGTTTTACAGAACAAAATTGTTCTGAAAACTCTCTATTTCCTCACATCTAATAAAAGGCACAGGAGTATATTATCTAGTTTATCTCACACGTTTCTTCAAAGATTCCAAAGAGATAACAAGTATGAAAGTGCATTATAAGCTATAAAGTGTTATACAAACATAAGATATCAAAATTACATTAACTGGAAAGCACTGAAGGTAAATAGTTGGGCATCGATCTGAGATGACATTTGGTCTTGGGCCAAACCTAACTTCTTCAGCTGGGGTCATCCAACTCTATAACTATGTTTTACCTTGGAGAGATTGTCATTACCAGATCTGTAATTGGAAGTCTTTATGCTGGCATCCTCAACTGGGAGTGGTGGAGAGGATGAGGATGGACACCTTTCTCAGGAAGAATAAAGACCCACAGAGATCCCAGGACACTGCTGAGGCTGCTTCTGGAGAGACTATCCCTCCCCTTTTCTGCATCCCTAGCACCAGGCGCAGGGCCTAGGGTTCCTAACAGGAGTGGGAAACCCACTGCCTCGAGGCCACGTGTGGCCCTCAAGGTCCTCTGGTGTAGCAAAGGGCCACACTCGAGGACCTAGAGGGCCATGTGCATCTTCGAGGCCACCAGTTCCCCACACCTGATAGGATATAGTGCTAAATAAATATTTATTGAATAACTAAATAACTGCCTACCCCCCAACTCCTCACCCCTCAGAAGTTGTATCTGATCCTTCCCTATTTTCACTAGTTAATCCTGATAATTGGGTACTAAAGGCAGTTGTTTCTTCATACTTGGTATCTCTTGAATGCCTTATTACTAGGGGTGCAATAGAGTGGTAACCCTTACAGCTTTTGGGAAGGTGATGGAAAGAGGGCTTGAAGCCATGCTCCCCCCACACTCAAAGTTTAATATTAGAGCTAAAGGACTTTACAGATCATCTAACAATAATAGCTAACATTTATATAACACTTTGGGGCAGCTAGGCGGTACAGTGGATAGAGCGCCAAGCCTGAAGCAATCTTCCTGAGTTCAAATCTAGCCTCAGACATTTACTAGCTGTGTGACCCTGGGTTAGTCACCTAACCCTGTTTGCCTCAGTTTCCTCATCTGTAAATTGAGCTGGAGAAGTGGCAAATCACTCTATTATCTTTGCCAAGAAAACCCCAAATGGGGTCATAGTCAGACACAACTGAACAACAATAGAATGCTTTACGCTTTGCAAAACACATCACAAATACTGGTGTCTCATTTTATCTTCACAGCAACCCTGGGAGGTAGATGTTATTATTTATTGTCTCCACAGATGAGGAAACTGAGGCAGATAAAGATTCAGTCCAGGGTAATAAAACTAGTAAGTGTCTGAAGCCGGATTTGAACAACTCTGGTCTTCTTGATTCGAAGTCCAGCGCTCTAATCCAACTGTATCTTACAAAGGAGTAAAATGAGGCCCCAGAGAAGGGAATGATTTGCCCAGTCCCACAGAGGAAGGCTCGTTTCACTTTCCCTGATATAGGCGCTAAGCTGGAGCGAGTCCAACAGAGCCCACATCTTATAGATCCATGATGAGAATTGAAATGCTCCTTAGAGACCTCCCTATCCATCTCGCCCCCCAAAAAGAGGCTCAGAGTTGGTGGCAGAACAGGAACTAGAGAATCCGGGCCTCATGTTTCCCAGCTCATCCCTCTTATATTCAAGTTGCTGAAATATATCCTCCTTCCTGGGCAGCAGTCTCTGGTTTCATGATCCGGGACAAGCAGCCAGGCAGGAAAAGGAGGACCTTTAGTCCTTTCCATCCTGGCCCCAAGCTTACCTTGCCCCTCTCTCTGGGTATGCAAGATAGTTTTAGAAGCCCAGGAGAGCCCCAGGAGAGAGGCAGCTAGGCAGCGCAGTGGATAAAGCACTGGGCTTGGAGTCAGGAATTCAAATTTGACCTCAGATACTTACCTTGGGCAAATCACTTAATCTTCTTTGCCTCCAAAAAAAGAAAAAAATAGAAGCCCAGGAGATCAACACTTAGAAAGGAAAGTAAAGGTGTCCTGCCTGCCATTGCCTATTCCTCCACTATGTGATATGAAGTATGCAGCTGATGATTCCTAGGTCTAAGAAAGAATTCCTCCTTCCCAGGGTAGGAGCACCAAACTTGCAATCCAGGGAATCCTGGCCATAGGAAAGTTTAACTAGCTCAGTTACCTGACCTGAAGAGCTGCACACAAGGGCATCCTGGAAAATGCTTAACAACCTACTCTCTGAGAAAAATGTCTATGACATACTTTTAAGTTTAATTTTTGAGGCAGCTAGTGGGCACAGTGGATAGAGCACCAGCCTTGGAATCAGGAGGATCTGAGTGCAAATCTGACCCCAGACACTTAGTAGCTGTGTGATCCTGGGCAAATCACTTCATTCCAATTGCCTTAAAAAAATTAATTAAAAAAAAAGGTTTATTCTGCATTATTAACATTTCCCCCACCATTTTCTTAAGTCGAGAGAATCAATGAAACAATAAACCAAGCCCTGATTGGTAGTGTTTGCCGATTTCCAGTGTAAATGCTCACCCTGAAAATTTAACACTCAGCTGCTTGTGAGCTGAGCCATTTGGAGCTCAGTCTAGCACAGCCCTGGCACCCATTCTTGCTAGTCCCCTGCCCCCTCATACTGTCATTTCCCTTTAAAGAAGGGTATAGGGGGAGTGAGTTGAGAGGGAGGTGGCCAGCAGTGTGCTGTTCCCAGTCTTTGGCCAGCTCATGGGGACCCTCAAATTCTACTGCTGTTGGCACTGAAGGACCAGTCCACTGGGCCAAGACTAGGCCTCCATCGCCAGCCACAAGCCAGAGCGGAGTTTTCATCTCCTTGAATGGAACTTTTGGGCCTCACCTACCCCTTGGTTCCTGCTCTTACCAGCACCAACATTGCCCTACCATAGCTCCCCACCCTCACCAAGCTACTTCTCCTCTCTTCTTCCTAAGAGACCCATAAATTCTTCCAAGAAATCCTTGAAATTTCCCACCCTTTGACAAAACCTTATCCAGCTTCGTCTGATAACTGCTTTGATTACAACCTGGTGCTGAAGAATGAAAAGGGAGACATAAGGTGAAGAGTGATTTTATACCTTTCCTAGTTTTTGGGGGGGATGTTTCTTTAGGGGGAAGAGAAACCTGAATTCTGTATGTGGAAAAATTCTATCCATGCCCAGACTGAGCAAAACTGCTCTGGGATGAAAAGAATCAACCCACAATGAGCAAACAGAACCGGGTTTATTCTAGGAAGAGGACATGCTGTTCCAGTGGGCATTAATTTAGAAGGCACTGAAGGCAAGAGGCAGCATAAGAGAATGAGTAAAAGGTCAGCCTTGGAATCAGGAAGTTCACATCCTGCTTCTAATACACACCGGCTTTATGACTATAGATCTTTTAACCTCTAGATGTTCTAGACAACCCTCTAAGACTATGTTGCAATAAAGTTATTGACCTACATTCATAATAAGGATCCCTACCATACTGGGCAGGGTCAGCTAGGTGGCACAGCAGATAGATTACCAGGCCTGGAGTCAGGAAGACTCATCTTCCCAAGTTTAAATCTGGCCTCAGATACTTACTGGCTGTGTGACCCTGTGCAAGTCACTTAACTCTGCCTCAGTTTCTTCATTTGTAAAGTGAGCTGGAGAAGGAAATAGCAAACTCCTCCAGTATCTTTGCCAAGAAAACCCCAACTGGGGGCAGCTAGATGGCGCAGTGAATAGAGCTCTGGCCTTGGAGTCAGGAGGACCTGAGTTCAAAGCCAGCCTCAGACACTTAACACTTATTAGCTGTGTGACCCTGGGCAAGCCACTTAACCCCAATTGCCTCATCAAAAAGAAAGCAAAAATAAGAAAAACAAAAACAAGAAAACCCCAACTGGGGTCACGAAGAATTGGACACAAGAGAAAAACTGACTAAACACACACACCATACTAGGAGTTCCCTATATTGATAAAAATTATTTTTCTGGTTTTGCCTTGTTTTTAATGGCATATTCTAGAAGGTCAGCTTTCTTTGTTCCAATTCTGACAGCTCATCATTTCTCCCTTTTTTATTCCAGGTCTATGACAGCCTCCTAAAGTTGGTACAGGGTGATCCATACTGGAAAATCAAAGCTTTTGCCATCAGAGGTATTACAGAGATAGTGCCCCCTATTCCTGCCTCTCAAAAAACTTCCATGGGGTGGGGAAACGGGAGAAGCCTCACAGAGGGCTCTTTGTTTCACCACAAGGCATCACTACTAGCTACCAACCTGATCCTATTCCACAGAATGTCACAGTCTAAGCCAGTCCCAAGCCCACTCCAGGAGTGAGGGCATTCACCCTTCTGAGATGAATTGCCCCATTCTTGAGGATTCCTGGAAAATGGTTGGCTGCCATTGGTTGCCTGACCTGTTTTTGGGAGGGCCTGCCAATTTATCAGTTGCGGGAGTATGGTGAGAGCAGAACATTTCTTTTTTTTTTTTTTCCTTCCACTTAATAGTATTTTATTTTTTCCAATTACATGTAAAGATAGTTTTCAATGTTCACTTTTATAAGATTTTGAGTTCCATACTGTTTTTCTCCCTTCCTCTCCTCCTCCCTCCCCAAGACGGCAAGCAATCTGATATAGGTTATACATGTACAATCATATCAAATATACTTCCACATTAGTCAAGTTGTGAAAGAAGAATCAGAACAAAAGGGAAAAACCATGAGAAAGGGAAAAAAAAGAGAAAGAAAATAGTATGTTTCAATCTGCATTGAGACTCCACAGTTCTTTCTCTGGATGTGGATAGCATTTTCTATTACGAGTCTTTTGGAATTGTCTTAGATCATTGTATTGCTGAGAATCAGAGTTGATCATCACACAAAGTTGCTGTTACTGTGCCTAATGTTCTCCTGGTTCTACTGACTTCACTCAGCATCAGTTCATATAAGTCTTTCCAGGTTCTTCTGAAATCTGACTACTCATCATTTCTTATAGTACAGGAATATTTCATTATATTCATATACCACAACTTGTTTAGCCATGCCTCAATTGATGAGCATCCCCTCAATTTCCAATTCTTTGCCACAACAAAAAGAGCTGCTATAAATATTTTTTGTATATGTAGGTCCTTTCCCCTTTTTTACGATCCCTTTGGGATACAGACCTAGTAGTGGTATTGCTGGATAAAAGGATATGCACAGTTTTATAGCCCTTTGGGAACAGTTCCAAATTGCTCTCTAAAATGATTGGATCAGTTCACAATTCCACCAACAATGCATTGGTGTTCCAACTTTCCTACATCTTCTCCAACTTTATCATTGTCCTGTTTCGCCATATTAGTCAACCTGATAGGTGTGATGTGGTACCTCAGAGTTGTCTTGATTTGCATTTCTCTAATCAGTAGTGATTTAGAGCATTTTTTCATATGACTATAGATAGCTTTAATTTCTTCATCTGAAAACTGCCTATTCATGTCCTTCGACCATTTATCAATTGGGGAATGACTTGTAGTCTTACAAATTTCACTCAGTTCTATACATATTTGAGAAATGAGGTCTTTATCAGAAACACTAGCTATAAAAATTGTTTCCCAGCTTTATGCTTTCCTTCTAATCTTGGTTTCATTGGCTTTGTTTGTGCAAAACCTTTTTAATTTAATGTAATCAAAATTATCCATTTTGCATTTCATAATGTTCTCTGTCCCTTCTTTGGTCATAAATTCTTCCCTTCTTCATAGATCTGGCAGGTAAATTATTCCTTGATCTCCTAATTTGCTTATGGTATCACCCTTTATGTCTAAATCATGTACCCATTTTGACCTCATCTTTGTATACAGTGTAACATGTTGGTCTATGCCTTGTTTCTGCCATACTCTTCCCAGTTTTCCCAGCAGTTTATGCCAAATAGTGAGCTCTTATCGCAGAAGCTGGCATCTTTAGGTTTATCAAACAGTAGATTACTGTAGTCATTGACTACTGTGTCTTATGTACCTAACCTATTCCACTGATCCACCACTCTGTTTCTTAACCAAAACTAAATGGTTTTGATGATTGCTGCTTTATAATATAGTTTTAGATCTGGTACGGCTAGGCTACCTTCCTTTACACTTTTTTTTCATTAATTCCCTTGATATTCTTGACCTTTTGTTCTTCCAGATGAATTTCATTATTATTTTTTCTAGCTCTATAAAATAATTTTTAGTAGTTTTATTGGTATGGCATTTCTATGTTCTCTAGTGTTTTTAATAGGAGTGGATGCTGTTATTTTATCAAAAGCTTTTTCTGCATCTATTGAGATAATCATATGATTTCTGTTAGTTTTGTTATTGATATGACCCAATTATGCTGATAGTGTTCTTAATATTGAACCAGTCCTGCATTCTTGATATAAATCCCACCTGGTCATAGTGTATTATCCTTGTGATAAATTGCTGTAATCTCTTTGCTAATATTTTATTTAAAATTTTTGCATCAATATTCATTAGGGAAATTGGTCTATAATTTTCTTTCTTTGTTTTGGCTCTTCCTGGTTTAGGTATCAGCACCATATTTGTATCATAAAAAGAATTTGGTAGGACTCCTTTGCCTATTTTTCCAAATAGTTTCTATAGTAATAGACAGTAGAACATTTCTGAATCCCCAGCTTCTGGAAACTGCCCCCTCCATTTCCCAGGATGAATTATATTTCATTAAGCCCTAATCAGTTGACCATGACATAAAGGAGTCAACTCCCCCCAGGAATGGACAGGAATGCTTAAATATTGTAAACAGTGTTTTGCTCTTTGCATAGATATAATCAAAGCGATAAAATGAGACATGATAAGATATCTACCAGACGGCTGCTCACCCTCAGGTTATCTTAGATCCAAAAGAGTTCAAGAAAAAGCACAGTACGTGTTGCATAGTTCCCCATGTCCACCCCTCCTTCAAGACAGTAAAGGACTGTAGACAATAAAACATACCTCCTGACTACTGTTTAATTCATGCCATGAAGTCAGGCTAATCATTAGATGAAAATTCAGGAACCCTGGACCTGGGTCATAGCATAGATTTAGGACCCAGTGGGGACTGAAGCTCTCACAGCCAGTGGTTTTCCTACTGCTTCCCATCACAACTGGTTCATCCAGCATGGATGCTAGTTAGAAGATCTGAGTTCAAATCCAGCCTCAGACACTTACTAGGTGTGTGATCCTGAGCAAGTCACTTAACCTCTGTCTGCTTAATTTTCCTCAACTGTAAAATGGGGATAATAACAGCACCTACTTCAGAGGGTTATTGTAAGGATCAAGTAGATATTTGTAGGCACTACATAAATGCTTATTTACTTCCCCTCTGCCATGGAGACAGGGGAGTGGATTCAGAAGCAGGCTCTAACAAAGAGAATCTTGCTACTGGGGTTCTAAATCACAGCTCTATCCTTGACCCCTTTGGCTGACAGGTAGATTATCTTCTCTGTGACCTTGAACCAGTCCTCAAAACGTCTGAATTGCTTCTAGATCTCATTGCTCAACACCTCATTGTCTCTGTTACCTACCTCTTATATCCTGTAATTTCATCAAGTAGATTTGGGGGGAAGGGGAGGGAGAGCAGGAAATTAAATTGATTGGAGTCCTGGCTTCAACATCTCCCCACATTGCTAGTTGCAACTGTGGTGCCACACAAGATCGAGGACCAGCTAATGGTTTTGTCCATTTCCTGTTATATACCAAGCACTACCAAGTAGAGAGGTAAAGAATCTCTCCAGACTCTTGTGGGCTCATCTTCTGATGAGTACGCACACAGCAAGCTCAGTAGATCTTGCCAGAGTCTGTACTATCCTGGCATACCCCTCAAGAACCCAGGGACCTTTTCACCCCATGATGCCTCTTCAGAGCAAGACTTTGGGGCCTGCTTCCTCTTCTCTATATAGTCTTTATGAGAATGATCTATGCTATAATTGCCATACCTCCTATCCTAGGGGTAGCTACAGACCTATTCTCTAACCCTACCCATGGTCGAAAGTGTGGAAGAGCTGTGACTGGTAATTTCTGATCCAACCAAACAGAAATAATTTCTGCTCTCAGACACACACTACTCTCTTATGCTATTCAAGCTATACTCCATATAACTAGAATCCCCTCCTTCCCCCTCTTTACCCATCCCTTTAAACCCAAATTAACTCTTCTTAGAAACCTTCCCTGATCTCCTTGGCTGGTAATAAACTTTCCTCATTTATAATTCTAATATGCTTCTCACCTAACATTGTGATCACTACCCCAATTCATGTCTCATACCTCACTTGTACTAGACTGTAAGTTTTTTGAGGACAGTGAAAATATCTTACCTAAATTTTATAACTTCTCTAGCACAGTTCTTGGAACACAGTAGGTATATAAGAAATGTTTGCATCATTATTATCATTATTCTCATTTTTTTATGGTCTTTAGAAATGATCCTGGGACAAGTCACTATATTACTATTTTTTTATATTTAATGTTCTATGGAGAGTTCCTAACTTGGGGGCCAGAGATTCCCCCCCCCCCCAAGAGGTCTATGGATAGATTTCAGAGGGTCTATGAACTTGGATGGGAAAAAAATATATCTCTTTTTTTCTTTTAACTGAAGATAAACTGAAGTTTATAATTCCTTCAATTATTTTTTTAATTACTCTGAGAACATAGATTCACCAGACTGCCAAAGGAGTCCATGGCTCCTATGACTATTGCATAGATACCACATAGCAACTACTTTTTGTAGTTGAATAAAAGTATCAGGATGTAAGCTCATGCTCTACAGGCTTATGGAGTCCATTATTGACACAGCTCAGTTAACACACATGACACCAAGATAATGCCCACCTCACTCATATAATCTTTGTCTATTCTGGTGGGTCTCCATATTTTAAAAGCTGAAGAAGGAGGAAGAGGAGAAGGAGGAGGAGGAGACTATCTACATTGTAGGCACAAGCTTGCCAGAAATAATTTTTCATTAACTTCTCATTCTTCTAAATCTAAGCATTTTTGTCTTTAAAGGGAGAAATGTCCAAATTGGCCAAGTCCTCTCATGCCTGCAGAAAACCCTCCCCAATACAAAAGATATTTTGAAATAACATTTTTAGAATTCTTGAACAAGGACAATCCCACAAGATAATAAAACATCTACACAAGTCAGGGTAATGTACA